ACTATTTTGAGTGATAGCTTCTATATGAATAACGTAGAACACCCTGAATCAAACAATGGGATGCTGAGCAAGATAGGTGGGGGACAGCAGAGAGAGTTTGGTATATGGGCTTTGATATCTCTTAAGGAACATGGGAAAATGTTTATGAAAGTTCTTGCTTCCACCTTGGCATATTGATATTAGGATTTTTTCCCATACCTGCAAAGCATTTAGAAGTTCCCATCTCGTCTTTATGAATAACCAAACAACACCAGCATCACGACCCTTTACATAGCACAGATTAGCATATTCAATATATATCAGTCAATCATTATATTATCCAGGATCTCAACTTATAGCTCAGATATATCTTCCTCGCATATCTTGGTTAGGCATTGTGATTACACAGTTTGCCAAGGAACAGCAGGGAACATTGACATTGAATTAAGAAACAGGTAATGTTCTGTTACTCAGTTTTCTTTCAGTACTTATAGTTGTATGCTTCATAAATCCAGAATAATGATAAGAACAAAAAGTGAAACAAAAATGACTCTTATTCAAAATATCATGTCATTTCTTTTTAATAGACAATTTTAGTAAACTGCAAATCTTGCTAAAATTTCATGCAAGAACTGATCGAATATCACTCAATCTGAACAGTGCGGTCAACAGCATATCTCCTGTTTAAGGGTAATCCCTCATTCACTTTATCCTGGCAGGACAATGTAGTGTTCCTATCAATTCACTTAATTTATAATCTGGAGGAATCTAGATAAATAGAAAATGTTCTACGTAGACTATGCTCATTCTTAAAGTATATTAAGGCAGAAGCTCTTCAGCCACAATTTACAAGAATAAGGAATTCATCGGTTAATAAGGAAGCGCCTGCAAATTCCAAAAACCACAAAAAAAAAAAAAAAAAGACAATTAAAAAAAGTACACAAGACTACATTACAATGTTTGTAGTTATTGCAATTGATTCTAAATAAACTAAAGGAGAAGTTAATGCTGTCAAAATTTTCAGAATTCTAAAATCATTATTCATATATCAGAAAATTCCATATCACCCATTTACAAATCACTGAGCACATAGAGAGGAATTTGGAGACAAACCTAACTCTTCATGCCGCCTTATAAACTCCTGTTTCCCGAACCATTTGACGATCCGATTTGTCAAAACCCAGGCTTTGGCTCCATTTTCTCTCGCTTTCCGCGGTCAACTGTTAACAGCCGGTCCAAATCTTTCCTCACAGCAACATTGCCACACCATGACAACTCATGTCCAAAACCCTAGCGCATCCTTGAACTCAGCGTTTCGATGAACTTTGCTTAACATAGAGATCACTCTATATGATAGCGTCACGCCAGACAGGAAGAACGGATGCCAAGGACCCAGAATGGGCTGCTCAAGCCATCTTCACGCGCGGCCTCAGCAGTCGGAAGTCGCTCAGAAAGGCGCCAAAGTGTGCATACTGACGTAATGTCAGATCCAATCCGCAGTGGGAAAGTGAGATGGATATGGAGAAGAACAGAGGGATTCGGCGGCGCTAAGATTGGAGTGTAAAGGTGACATATTGAGGCAGCCGCAGGCAGACATGATAACCGGTGAGTGGTGGTGGTGGGGGTGATCAGAGTACAGAGAAAGTGAGAGAATGTTTTTGGTTTTGAATGATTAATTGGGTATAATTTAAATGAGTGGGGAGCTTGGGATATTAATAAAGCGAACAGAGATATTTATTCTTTAATTAGGATATTTTTTTTTTATTTGATATTTTTATTTTTTGGATTTTTATTTCTACGAACAAAACAGTCATGTAAATGTAGATAAAGGACTAACTGTAAAATATAACTGGTTGTGTTCTTTCTGGACCGGGCTGTAGTTTCTTTAATCGAAAATATTATAGTAATTGTATACAAGATAACAGTGAAGAAGGAAGAGAATGATTAGAGAGTTATAAGAGATATTTTGGGCAAAGGCAACTACTGCAACTGAACGTTCCTGCAATGTAGAAAGAAAGAGATGTAATTTATAGTATTGATGTGATCTATTGAAAATAGCCATTCTACGCAGAAAATGGAGGCCTTGGCCTGGCCCTTATTAGTTAAAACTATTGATGGATGATTAGGTGGATTTGGCGTTTGGCCTACATATATATAATTTAATTTTTTTTTTCCGGGTTAATTTTTCAATTATTTTATTACCAACAATATATATAAAAATCCTAAACTCGCTCTTGAAAATATAATTCTTTTTCTTTCTTTTTTTCTTTTTCTTTTTTTATTTTTTTCTTTCATAATTTTAAAAATAATTTTTTGAATTTTATAATAATTCCGCTTTTTAATCCAACAGTTATTTCTTTCTGTCCCAGTGCAGCCCATTCATAACTCATATAAAAAAAAAAAATGCGCAAAATTGTAAGCTGGCATGATTAAATATCTATAGAGAGAATGACAAGTAGAAAAAGTATACTGAAACAATAACCAGGTTAATTAAAATTATAGCTGGCTTCTTTCTGTAATCATAGCAAAAAAGATAACGAAGAAATCTATCCTAAAATTCACATATGAGCTAATATTTACATAATGTCAGTCAACAGCTGCATAAACTAACATTGTAACAACTCTTATACAAAAGATCCATTAACAGAGGGGTTTCTTCGCAAGTCATGGTCTTGTGGGATTGGTTGTTTGTGGTGAAGAGGGTCTGGTCCAGTTGGGAATCTCCCCTGGCCGAGTCCTTGCCGATAAATAGACTGCACGTCATTTTCCTTTTCCCAAACTCTAATCATATACTTTTATTCCAAAGAATCGCCTGATTCCAATAGCAAAATAAAACAAAAGAAACCCGTTATAAGAACTAATCTTTTGTTAGAAAATCAAAATACTGTATCTTATTTCAGTTTATACATCTACTATCATCTAAAAAAAGGAGGATTTTTTTTTCCATTTTCTTCTCTGGTTTTTACTTGTGTACAAACTATATGTGAGGGCTTAAATTCTAAAAAGGTGGAGTCTCTCCAAGTACCTTCTGTAGCTTTAGCTTTTTTATGATCCTGCTGCGTCATCCTGGAAATGAATGCCCTGGTTCAGAGTTTTAAGACAAGTTAAGCAAAACTTCAACTTGACATAGAAGATAAAAGAGAGAGACTTCGGGTACGAGAAGAATGTGACAAAAGATATTTAAGAACCACACTATAAAGAATTAACCGTGAAGATTGGAAAATCCTGATATATGCTTTCAAACGCCATTTTTTACATGTAACCCGCTAGCAGCAGAAAGGGGTTTTGAAAAGAAGAAATAAGCACATTAAAGAATAAAACATCTTTTTGGAATGCTCTTATACTTGGAGAGTTAAGATAAACAGTGGGTGGAATCGAGGCTGAGCTGCTGACGAAGGTAGTAGATGTATTCTGTCAAATATCGGAATCACCCTGTTTAAACAGGGTAAATTATAACTCGCTTCGCGTTCTTATCGTGAGTGACTATGTGATCCTTACCGAAAATACTTGCCTTACGATTGAACTGTTGAAAATAGCCACGATAAAACAAGGGTATTGTTGTCTAAAAAATGAAACTTTCAGATTTGCGGTTAAATTATTATTAATAAGGAGCGTTTGCAGGTTTTCAGTTGGCATTGGCGACAGACATCCCTGTACGGAGAGTGGGGACGTTGATTTGTTTGACATGTGGCGTCAAACGATTAGAAATCGATTTCGGGGACTCCACGCCAAGTGTGGACTATCTTCTGCGCGCTTGAAGTGATTGTTTTTCGTGGTCGTTTGGGGAGGGCACCCGAGGGTACTTTCACGTTTGAGAGGCAATTTCCCGTTAACAGTAACTTTCTCCCAAAGAAACAAAAATAAAACATGTAAGAAAAACTAAAGTCAACTATAATAGAATTTATGATATAAAATAGTGGGAAATGAATTAAAAAAAAAACAAGGTTTAGATTATGTATATTCTTCAACAACAAAATAATAATTATTTTAGTTAATACTGTACATTGTCCAATTATGTTTCGTCAGTTTTAATGTTAAAGAATAATGATGTGGCGCGGCTGGATCATTTTGTTGTTGTATTTTTGAAGGGTATTAGTCAGATTCAGGACGGGGTCAGCATATAGCAACTTGTGGTCGGCTTAGCAATTCCGCACACTTCGATTTGGGGTACTAAAGACGACTAGACCTACTTAGTAACAAAATGACAACTGAATTATCTCATTAGACATTCATCCAAGGCTGCCTTTGTATCTTCCAACTTCTCTTCTCTTCTTGTCAGGCTCTCTTTTTCTCGCACATATTTGGTTCATATCTGACACTTCCCAATTGAAAAACTGCTTCCATAATAATTCACCCCTCTTTAACAACACAGTTTAAAAATGCAAATGATTACTGTAGATATTGTTGGAATGATAGAATAAACATTTTTAACATCATGATTTTTTCCCATTTGATTCTATCATCACAGAACGAGCTAGGTGTTGGATTGAGTTTGCTTTAGTGGAGCGGTTTGCAAAACGAGAGATGAAACAATAATTGTCGACTTTTGATGTTCTTGCGACAGATTACTCAATTCAGTTAATCAGAATTTCAACGTTGATCAATTCATTTGAAAAGCCTTGCTCAAGTTCCTAGGTTAACTGAAGCATGAGCACGCCCTATTTCTGATAGCAAATTTATAATCTTTTGAATTCTCCTTGCTTCCAATTCAGAAAAAGAAAAAGCATCAGCAATTCAGCAGAGTAACTTGCTTCAATATCATCTAAAGCGAGCATATTCCATCATTTGCTCAATAGGACCAATGCAAACATTTCAGTTGATACAAATAATCATAGAAAGGAGTAGGGTATCTACAAAAGAGTAGGAATCATCTGTGTGGTTCGTTTTTGCATTGTATTTATCCAGTCGAACACATTGATTCTGGATATCCCCAAAAACATTCTTGTCAAAAGGTAGTGAAATATATCATAATTTTGTATTTATCCAGTCGAACACATTGATTCTGGATATCCCCAAAAACATTCTTGTCAAAAGGTAGTGAAATATATCATAATTTTGTATTTATCCAGTCGAACACATTGATTCCTTTACATCAATTCCTCAATTCTAATTCTCATTGAGGAAAACTCTGGCCAGCTATGAAAAGATAAAAATTATTTATCCCGCCCCTAATTTCCTAATAAAATAAATTAGTCATGGAGAATAATAAGGGAAAAATAAGCTCATAACTTACATATGAAGACAAATTGACAATTGTAGTATCAGCATGTCTAATAGGTGCAGTTTCAACAGTCCCTGAATCATAAAAAGATAAAGATAAGACTTGGAATGATAAAAGTTATGTTATATGAGGACACTGAATTTAGATTACAAAATTGATAGAAGTATCACTTACCATCTATAATCTGAAATATGAAGTTTTGAACCTATGCACCAAAGTATGAGATCAAATCGTCTGGATCAATAATGAATTCACGTCCAAGATCTAATGGACTTGCAAGTCCTCCATCAGTAAATTCCCATGGGAAGGGTAGTGAAGAATCAAAAGTTCGATCTTGTTCATCAGGAAATTCCTCAACGAAATGATGCAACTGCTCTCCAATAATCTCATTTTCACCCCTATGTAGTGCTGATGCATGGCCTTCATCATCCTGTGGCCTGACTGGAGGCAATTGAGATGACTGCATATCATGAGCAGGCCCATAGTCAACTGACGGATTATAGACATTATAAGAAGATCCATTATGCAACTCCGAATTATGTAGGACAGGATAAAACATGGAACTTCCATCGACTTGCATGCCACCAATAGAACTACCATTGGCACCAGAAATGGCAGGGTAATAGTTAAGTGCTGGGTTTAGATTGGATTGATCTTCGAAACCTTTCTTCAAAAGCCTCAAATCAGTGGTCAAATCATTTTCCTGCCCATCGCCATTCATTTGATATTCCATTGGCAGTAAATCAGCATGGTTGATATCAGGCAAAGTGTTACTCTGTTCAGCATGTGAATGCTCATTGAGAGGCATCTTGGACAGCCTATCTTTATGAATTGATTTCAAACGAGGCCTTTTTCTCGAATGTTGCTTTTCCTCTTGCTCTTTATCTTGGGCAGGATGAGGGGTGTCATTTTGGATAATTCTTAATGGCTCCACATCTGTTGGTGTATTTGCCCTGTTATCTTTAGATGAAACAGAACCCATACCATCATCTACAGCATCGACATCATAATCACTGTCACTACTAATGGCAAGTTGCTTCTTCTCACCACGTCCACGTCGAGGCATTTCAGTTATGCCAGAAGTGCCATTATCACTGCTAGGCTGCTGAATAAGGGATTCTTCTTGACTCAATACACTCAACCAAATTGCACTCTCCTTTGCAGTCATCTTATCTTGTAAGCACTTTGATTGGCGGACATGCCTCCTGATTTTTGCAATGTCGGGTGACATGTGCTTTATTACAGCTGTTAATACACCAACTTTCCACATCTTCTTTAAATCATGTGGCTTCTTATAAGGAGGACTCTGTCCATGGGCTAGCCCTAACTTTACCCACCACTCTTCATTTCCAGTTGGCCACCAAGGTGGCGGAACTCCTTTTTCTAAAGGGTATTTCCTTTGAGGGGGATCACAGTGCTGCATTAGAGAAGACAGGAGAGAACCCAAAGTTGCATCTTGCAGGTCTTGAAGAACGTTCTGGGAGTTTCCATTTCGATTTTGATCGGCCTTGCCCATGTCTAAAGACTCAGCTTCATACTTTGCAATGGCCGCTGGTCCATTCTTATCAAACTTGACCTTTTCTTTCCACCAAGCTCTTATATTGTCAGATGCACCACTTACTGGCTTACCCTTTTCAGGAATGATTCCATACACAAATCCACGTGCTTTGCATACTTCCATTAGTTTCAACATGTACTTTAAAATTCCATCTTGGGCTCTTGACATCTTCTTCCGTCTTGCTTGATCAGACGTCTGCTTGGGCTTTTGCTTTTCTGCAGCTTGTTGAGCTGCAAGCTTCTGTTGCTCCTTAATCCTTTTGAGCTTGATTCGATCTTTCCACATCCGTCTCTCCAATTCTTCTGCTTCAATTTCTTCATCGCTGACATCTTTCTCCGCAATATTGTCACACCTTATGTCGTCAACTTCGATATCCGAGCTGCCAATGAATCAGCCAACGTTAGAAAGTGCCCTCACTTATGAGAAAATTTAATTTTTGTAGGAGATGGGGAGGAGGATAGAGCCACGGAGTCGTCGTATCCATTTCACATTCTCACTAACCCAAATAACTATACTAGGGCCAAGGCAAGGGGAATTTAGAATTCTCTGAAGCAAAACAACGATAAACTTCAATAGAATTTTCTGACGCCAAAGAAACAAAATATTTCAATACTAAACATTTAATAATTTCCTTTCTATAAATTTTATCAGAGCCAGAGAATACAAACTTACGGCCAATAAAAGCCCTCCCTCCACTAATTTGCGATGGGAATTGATGGAACAGATGTAACTTCAATAAAAAAAACGAAATATTTGGGCATAGAAAGAAACTCTTACCTGATATCAGCTCCAATCTCTTCCAAATCAGCCATCAAATCCTACGAAATTGTACAGAGGATGCGAAATTAACAAACCCTAACAACTTGGGATTTCGATAATCTGGGCGTTTTAGTAGAAAAGTGAGAAGACGACAATTTGTATAGATACTGTACACGAGCGGAGAGATAATCGAAGAACCCAGAGGAGGTCAAAAAGGAGAAAATCCGTTTCGCCAAATTCAATGTACAAAATTTTGTTAATGGAGAGAGAATGGGTGGCTCTGTTTAGAGAGAGATAGAGAGGGGCTGCAAAAAAGAGTCCAAAGTGGACCAGGCACCTCGAGTTTTGCCATGCTTGGGAGGTGTAATCACCTACAATAACGTCTATGGAAAATAAAAATCCTATTCAATGAAATTGCTAAACACGTCAATTAAAACCAGTTTATATATTTAGGAAGCTATATAAATTTCCAAATTTAATGGCTAAGTTTTAATTTTTCAAAAAAAGAACATTAAATTAAAATAATTGAAAATTTGGAATATCATTTTAACTGTACTTATTTTATTTTTTTATTTTCGTCACTTAATTTTAATTTTAGTGTTCTTTTCAAGCAATAAATTTATGTAATTAATATGTTTTCAAATACACTGTAATCACATTCCATCGTATTTTTTATTTTGGATGAAAAATAATTTTTTATATAAATCTGATAATTTTGATAATTTTTTATATTTTTTATGCAATGTTTTTTATTTTATTGATTGTGAATCCAACTTGTTTGGTGCAAAAATAAAATCTGATATTGAATTGTGATTTTTTATAAATCAAGTGCATTTTTAAGATTAATGAATGTTATTCTAAAAATAACTAAAAGAAAAGAAAATAACAATATACTTTTTCATTACTTTTGTTGAATGATATAGGAGGAGATAGAAAATCAGAAGACTGTGTCTCAGATGAAAGTTCGTTTTCGTTTAGGATCTTAGCTCCTGTCCAAAACGGAAACTGCAGATTACAATAGTCAATCAACACCAAATCACACGCAACTTGCTTTCCATTTACTAGGACGGTGTTTCACTTCTTCTCTCAAATTTGCAAATTCAGTTACTTCATCTCTGTCCGTGCTGAAGTGAAAGATCAACTGGCTTCTCTGGTTTCAATTTTCATTTCATATTTTATTATTGTTTTGCATATGTTTTTTAGTTGAATTGCATTCACCAATTCATTCAATAGCATCTCCTATTCTTTAAAAAAGATTAACAAAAAAAAGGTTAGTTCAGAGGATTTGGCCCAACACTCATAATCAGAGTTCCAATAAAAATTATTCATTTCTTATCAGTTGCTATAAAGCTGGTAAATTTATTCGGGAGGCCAGCCAGATTGGTATTACAAAATGAGTAAATTAGGACAGACAAAACAGCATATGCGACTGACACTTTACTTGGACCTAACTATTTCTTCTTTCATGGCAAGTGAAAGAGAACTGAGATTGCCTCCACTTTCCACTACTACCCCTGGCATGGCAATTGCTCTGCTTCCCACAAACCCACTTTCTCCAACTCTTATTTTTCCGAACTTAACCTTTCCTTCATCTCCTTCATATATGTGTCCAAACAAAAGAGCTTCTTTTCCAACACAACCACCTTTCTGTATCTCCACCATTTCTGGATTCAATGAAGCTCCCATGCTATCTATGTAGGCCCCTTGATCCAATTCAATTTCTGCACCCATCAATTTCAACCATAAATTGAACAGGATGGACCCACTTGTCATTTCCATGAAATACTCCCCAACTACGGTTCTAAAAGCCTGCCATATCGTATCCATGAAGACCCCTTTACTCCAAATCAATACTGTTTCACCTTCTTTCTTCTTTCCAACAAGAATCCATTTGACCAGAATACAAGCTATTGCAGCAAGAATCCCTGAAGAAACCCAAACCAAAGGAAGTAACCAACGAAGTGAAAGTTGCTTGCTTTCCTTCAAGGAAAAGACCCAGTTTAAAGGAGTAAAGATTACCAACCCCAAGAGGAAATATGGAAACAATGTTTGTAACAATGGCTGAGCAAAAATGGCCCATGAGGTTTGATACCAATTTCTTGCTAGAGTTACTTTTCCTGAATCTTTTCTCTCCAACATTGCAGCCATAGGACAACCTGAAAGGTCTACTTTAACATCAGACTGCTCTATAAATATTCTCCAAGCCTCTGGAAAGGGTTCCCCATTTCGCAAATGCTGACAAATTTCATAGATCAAAGAACGACCATGATCAATTGATGCACTTTGGGAGCATGATGTGGCTCTGATAACATCCACCTCAGAACATCTAAGGTAAGGATTGAACTCGAGTCTTTCTGATTCTTCACTGGTGAGATTTTGATCAATAATAATTTCCCCAACGTCAATGTATGGGAATTCAGTCTCATCCCATGGTCTGGTGCAGTCAAGTGCTATGTCACGAGTGGCTTCATCGGTTGGAACTGCTCGGACTTGCAGCTGGAAAATGTAGCGGACCCCACCAGGTGAACTTACTCGCCTATGGAAGTCTTCTGCAAGGAAAAGTAAGGGGCGAGTGTCTTTATCATCCCTTGGAATTGCACCAGTTTCTGGTGGGAGAATTCCCGTAGGCTCCACCTTACCCGAATCCTCAGTGATGCGTTCATCACAAGGACGCAGCTTGAATTTCACATACATCTCCTGTCCATCTGTGAACCTGAAAAGCCTGCAAATATTGGAGTAGTGAGCTGGAAAATTGTAGGCGGGACCGCCACGCAGGTGACTTACCTCGCCTGATTTGAAAGTCTTTGCTGCAAAAGGAAAACAGTTAAGGGGCGAGATGTCAATTTATCCATCCCTGGGCAAGGAAAAGTAAGGGGCGAGTGTCTTTATCATCCCTTGGAATTGCACCAGTTTCTGGTGGGAGAATTCCAGTAGGCTCCACCTTACCCGAATCCTCAGTGATGCGTTCATCACAAGGACGCAGCTTGAATTTCACATACATCTCCTGTCCATCTGTAAACCTGAAAAGCCTGCAAATATTGGAGTAGTAATGTAGCTCAGCATATGAAGCGGCATTGCGAAGAGACGTCCACACTGCATTACGGACATGTGGGGCCCGTTTCACAAATTCCTCCCTTGCTGGAAGTCCACACACTAGCCATGTTGCAAAATCAGCAATTGTTCGGGCATAGAATGCGTTGCCTGTTTTCAGTGTCAGGTCAAGGATTGAGGCCTTACCTCCAAGTTCTTTTTCATTTGAAAGTATTCTTATTGATGCACCACGGGCATCTATTCTTGCATCATCATCAGCACTTAAGCTATTGCTGTGGCGAATTACAATGGGATACCTCTTACCAGCATGGAAAATATTGTGTTCAGGCAATCCTTTGATGTTGTCATAAATGTGCAGGTATCCCTTCCCACTAACACCAATTCGATGGAAGTACCTTGATTTGACCTTCAAAGTTGTGGCGGCCAAATTTGCAGCTAGATTACCAACTATCTTCTTATATTTAGTGTCCATCTCTTCAATTCTGTCATCCAAATTATGCATAGTGTTCTTGATCATAATAGGAGTTTGAGATCCAATATAAACGCCACCGCTATGAAGAACTGAATTCAATGGAGCAACTGAAAGAGCACCAAGAATTACATCTTTCTGAACAACTGAGCCAGGGAGAACCAGACTCTGACTCCCAACAACTGAATACTAGAGCGCAGGGAGAGAACCAGGACTCTGGACTTTCCCAACATAACTGAATTGTTCCTGCACCTTCTTAAAATTTTTTCCCACTTGTGTTGAATACCCAATTTTGCTGAATAGAAACCCTTCCACTGGCCAGATTAATCCGACTGAGTCACCAAGGGATGAACGCCAGCACCTAGTTTGTATCTCAATAGTCTCTGGACCATCTGACTTTACGAGGGTTGATGGCCCCTGGATATATAACAGTGCCTCTTCACCCAACCTTGGTCACCCCAGGAGGGCGTAGTTTTACACGACAAGAAGGCTTCTGTTACTGACAAGTGTCGTCTTGGCGATTCTAATGGTTGGCGCAGGGGCAAAAGTTAATTCGCATCGGCCCGATAGGCCAAGTCTTAAAGGTGCGCGATTGCTCTTTCTTCTTGGGTTTTGCCCAGAAGGAGACAAGGGTGTCACAAAGTGCATGTCAAGTGGATGCTAAGTATCAAGTCTCCTTCTTATGAGTTAAATAGGCAATAAGCAACTGAGCATTGTGCAAAAGTGTATCTTGGATTTTGCGCAACATTAAGCAAACATTGTGGCGTTTATATAAGCCTTAACAAGGTGTGAATTGGAATCCAGTAGAAACAGAGCTTCCCACAGATGCAAAGAAGAATATGAGATAAATGTTGGAAGGGATGCAGTGGTCCCTTTTAGAGACAAAGCCAAAATGAAAAAGGAGGTAGACTTGTAGGCTCGCTGCGAGCTTCAAACGTGGCTGAGGAAACCAGTTCATTATTAGATCTGCCCATCAAGTGGTTAACACTTTTTGACAATCCATTGTGATAGACATATTTGGGGGTTATGCTGCTATGGTCACCCTATAATACCATGGAAGCAAGAAAAGTGATAAAAGTTGTTTGAATTTTCCATAGTATTCCTATAAATTAGCTACACAAAAACTAAAAGCCGAGTAACTCGTCTCTCTATAACAACTTTTCAAACACATTATTTATCTATTAATTAAGTTTGTTTTCTTCATATATTTAGAGGAGAAATTTATGATTTAATTTGTCTGTTTTTATTTTTAATTCATTTATGCAAAAAACCTAAATTGATATTTTTCTGAATATAAAAAAAAAAGATAATTGAGATTTTTATGTTATTGATCCAATGTTATTAAAATAATAGTGCAAGCAGTTAAAAGTTTAATTAATGACTTGTTTTTATGAGGTAAACAAGTTATTCGCGGATGTATGGTTTAAAACAACCCCTGGCATGGTTTAAGCAGTTCTAAATTAAACGGGTGAAATAAAGCAACCTGTATTAGATATCTAGAAATCTTTTTAATTCTGAAAAGAATTTTACCCGTTTTTTGTAACTTATTTGATACCCTTGGACATTAATTTTCTAAATTGGGATCCATTGCCTCCTTTACATATCTCTTGCAGTAACCAGGGTGGTACATGATGGCAATCTGGTATCCCCACACTCACATATTCCTTCTCTGTGATTACAGCATATGGACCAACTGAAGAATTTTTGGTCCGATCTAATTGGGAGGGAAGCCTTAAGATTCCATTCTTTTCACCTTCAATGGGGTTGAATCGCCAATGCCCCTTCTGTCAAAATGACAGCTCATCTACGATAGAAACCAGAGTGGGTCGTGTGTATCGGGCAGTAGTAATTCTAGTACAAACTGATGACGCCAAATCTTGGCTCCAGAACAGCATCTCAAACCAATATTAAGGAATGGTGTTCCTCTCAAATTGTTCTCTGCAATGATTTTTGAAAGAAATTTCGCACTGAACCTTATAAAGCGCCCACACTTCATGCGCAGGAATTCTTTAGCTGACCAGAGGAGATATTACTGGGATTCAGGGATAGTTTGGGTGCTTTCAAGATAAGAATTTCCAAGCGAAAGCAATACAATACAGGTTAAGAAAACCATGCAAAATATCCAACGCGCGAGAGGAAGCTCCTTGAGGCCAAAGGAAGTTAAATAAATTGACCAGTGAATTTTAGTTCTATTGATTGCGCACTTATGGTCGGTGAGGTACCAAGGTTTGATAAAACCAGAATATTGATTAAAATTATAAGCAGGAAGCTTAGGGCATGCTATTGACACCAAACATTAAATGAGGAGCAAGAAATTCGTAAAAATCCAAATAAAGATTGGGTGAGCTCTTTCGGTAACTCAAATTCCCAGTTTACGAGAGGCGTTAATTCAATAGAACTAACTATAAGGTTTCACATTTCCTTTCTGGATTACAGCATATGGACCAACTGAAGAATTTCGTCCGATTCTAATTGGGAGGAAGCTTAAGATTCCATTCTTCACCTCATGGGCTTGAATCAATGCCCCTTCTGCAATGACAGCTCCATCTCCGATAGAAACCAGAGATGGGTCTGTTATGGCAGTAGTATCTAGTACAACTGATGACCCAATCTTGGCTCCAAGCATCTCAAACCAATAATTAAGGAATGGTGTTCCTCTCAAATGTTCTGCAAAAACTTTTGAAGAAATTTCCTGAACCTTATAAAGCGCCCACCACTTCACAAAATCTACTGACCAGATGGAGATATCTGGGTTCAGGGCATAGTTTGGTCTCAAGAAAGAATTTCCAAGGAAAGCAATACAAATACAGGTAGAAACCATGCAAAATATCCAAGCAAGAGGAGCTGAGGCCAAAGGAATTAAATAACTTGACCAGTGAATTTTATCTATTGATGCATGGTCGGTTGAGGTCAAGGTTGTAAAACCAGAAATTGATAAATAAGCAGGAAAGCTTAGCATGATTGAAACATAAATGAGAGCAAGAAATTGTAAAATCCAAATAAAGATTTGGTGAGTCTTGGAAATTTCAGTTACCGGATCAATAGAATCAATATCAGGTTCCGGGAGATGGGATGAAGAGTTCATTAGATGAGGTTGAGACTTCATCACAAGATTTTCTGAAAAGCTTGCCAATTCTGCAATGCAAGTGGCCGTGAAGATATCCACTGCTCCAACTGGTACTCCTACGAAATCTGAAAGTTTTTGAGCTGCTCTAACTACACCTATTGAGTCGATTCCATAAGCTACAAGATTCTCTGTTGCGGAGATGTTCTTGATAGGAATTCCCGTTTGCTCAGAAACAAGCCCTTTTAGAAACTCTACGATTTCTTTGTTTCCCAATTTGGGAGTCTGTATATGAGAGCTCAGTAGCTGTGGTCGCCGAGGACTTCCTTCCTTACATTTTCCAGTAGCGAATGACCGAACCAATGCTCTTTTTGGTAAAATTGGGTCTGGTAGAACATTCAGAGTTCCATCAGTGAAAAGCTTAAGGCATTCAAATCTCTTGATTTTACCTGATGTTGTTTTGCTAATGGTTCTTGGCTTGATCAACTTGACACAAGCCACAGAAACACCATGTTCTTCTGTGACATGGGTTTTAATGTTTTCAACTACATCCTTATCAACTGATTTACCATCTCTAACCTCTGCAATTACAACCAAGCCGACCTGATCAGAACCATCTGGAAGTGCAATCCCTTTAGCTGACAAGACTTCTTCTGGAACACCAATCACTGCACAACAACCTGGGCGTAGAAGTTCTGATGCACTTTCAACTGTCTTTTCTACATCTGCCAAGTAAATGTTTCGTCCTGCTACAATGATTAGATCTTTGATTCTTCCAGTAATGAATAATTTCCCATCAATAATTCTTCCCAGGTCTCCAGTACAAGTGTATATTCTTCCAGGATGATTTTGAAGCACATTTCTAAAAGTTTTTTGGCTGTCTTCTTCCCTGCCCCAATACCCAATTCCAGCACTCGGACTACTAATCCATATCTCTCCTTCCTTTCCAACTTCCTGTAACTCGTCACGACTCTCTGGATCAACAATTCTGATATCAACATCTGCATCATCTGGATAAGCATAACCACAACAAACTCTTCCTTGCCAATCAATCAAGATTGGCAAGCCTTCCCCATATGCGCAACTGACAAATACACAATTCTCTGCCAAGCCATAACCAGGAGCCATCACCTCTTGAGAAAGGCCAAATGGACGAGTGAGCTCTACAAACATTTTCAGGGTTTTCTTCCTCACCGGTTCAGCAGCAACCATTAGGAAAATCATGGAAGAGAGCTCATAATCATGTACTTTTCCCCTTTCTGTCTGAAGTCGCCGAACAACTAGATCGAAAGCAAAGTTGGGACCAGCGCTATGAGTAGCCTTGTATTTGCTCATGATATGAAGCCATAAGAGTGGATTCTTGATGAAGGTCATTGGTGAAAACAGAAATGCGGATCCACCACTAACTAGAGCAGTAAAAAGTCCACCAATTAATCCCATGTCATGATACTGTGGAAGCCAACTTACTAATACTGTCTTTGAAGTGCTACTGTACCTCCTCCTCATCAACTTCACATTATGAATGAGCCCACCATGAGTTATCATGACACCTTTAGCATCACCAGTAGATCCTGATGTAAATTGCAGAAAACACAAATCATCAGGTTGAGATTCATATTGATAACTCATATTTTCTGGAAACAAATCTGTGGAGTTCTTTATCCAAACATCTGTATATAACCACGGAAGATTAGGCCAGCGAGCGGAAGGTTTCCCTTTCTTTACCGTCAATGAGATCAAATTCTTCACAGAACCTACTCGAACTGCTGAGCGATAAAGACGGGTAGATAAAATTGCCACTACATTACAATATTTGGCAATGTTTTCGATCTTCAGAAGCGCTTGGCCTCCTCTTTGTAGTGGATCTGGCGGAAGAACTGGCACTGGTATGACTTTAGCTATTAAGCACCCGAAGAATGCATCAACGAAGTCCAAGCCTGGTACATGGACTAGGAGGACCCTGTCCCCAGGTTTGATAACTGGTTTCTGGCTGGTCAATAGCTTATGAGCAATGCAAGAAGCATTGTCAAGAAGTTCTGCATATGTTCTCTGGAACACCACTGCCCCTTCTTCATTAATCCAATTATAGAGGGTTTTATTTTTTGTGTGTCTATGTGTTCCCCAGTGTTTCAAGTAGCCGGTAAGCGTAGATAGATCAGGAAACTCTACACCTGGAAGCTCTCCTAGTTTTTTTGGTTTTCTGTCCCAGCGATCCGATTCCAATGTGAACAGACTCTGCAGTAACACAAGCAACAGACATGGTAAGCTCTAAATTACCAATGTTCAAATATTATTACATTATCTGATTATCCTACTGTTACTTACAGAATGCCAATTACCTTGACATATGGAAACCGTGGCAAAGGATTGTTATTTGCAAAGTGTTTGCACATCAGAGCCATAGCATAAGATGAATTTCTCTCTGTAAGCTCAAATGCCATAAGCCCACCTACATAGTAAGTGTTATGCAGACCTTGAAGCTCAGATTCCAATTTCTGATAGAATCCATCCTTCATATCTTTTTTCATATCAAAATAAAGAAAAAGATATTAATAACCTCATCTGGAAGAGTTCAACGTCACACTTGTAGGAGTAGTTCAACCAGCAATACCTTGGCTACTAACATGAGGAAAATATCGGAATCTTCTTTGTAGAACCACTTCCTCAACTTCTGCTCCTATGTTTTTAACTACTTTGATGGCAAGATCAGTGACAGTTGGTCCCTTAATGTCAACAGAGTTTCCATAAGAAAAGAACAAGAAAATATTACTGTCAGCATAGAATTTCTGCATTGCAACTGGATGTCCAATTGTTGATGGATCGTCCATATATTCCCTAAAGTAATAAAATCCATTTGGCATATCTTCTAGTCCTTTGATTTTTAAAACAGTGGTGTAATAGTCGATTGTCTGAACTTTGCTGAATAACTCTCTTTCAAGCTCTTCAAGCTCCATCACTTCATTTTCAAGTTCTGCAACAAGAATTCCACCTTAGACTGTTCTAAACAAATGACTAGAAATATAAATTAAGAGGTGAAGTGCTCAAGAAACCTGTCAAATTTGAAGTTGGTGATCTGTAAGTTTTTCCATGTTTGAAAGGAAAAGCACCAGAAACAATTATCTTGTCAAACTTCATCACTTTGACTTCCCCATTGCAGTTTCTTACATCAACACTAACATTGTCAGAATTGCGTCTGACTGCCAGTACTTCAGTTCTGCAAAGAACTTCAATTGGAAGTGATTCGATGAGCTTCTGCCAGAGACTAGTGTATCCACTCTTGAAGCGCCGGATCTTTCCAGCCATAGAAGTTCGAGTGAACTCATGAATGTACGCGTAAGGCATGTCCTGAGGAAATCCATAACCTGAAGCAGTGTATCCATGAGCCACAGATTTGGGAATACATTTAAATCCGCGACACTCAAGAAATGCTGGAGTTGAATCTGAAGCAAATCCACTCACAGCATGGACTCCAATATGACCTGAATCTTCTGCCTTATCCTGGAAAGATCAAAAAAGAAAGTTACATTGACAGCCAAGATTCCAATATGAAGCAAAAATCAAGAACTGCGCAGGGTAAGTGAAACTAACCTGGAGTTCTAAGGTCAGTGAGATTAGAGATATATAATCATCTGCAACTTCAATGTCCTCATATTTTCCTGTGGAGCTGTCAATTAGAGCAAGCTTGTGTAAGTCCATTTCTTCCAATTCAGTCTCGGTTTCCTTTGCAAGTTGAAAGATGACTGGCGCGCTATTTTTAGCAAGCACTTGACCACCCACATCATAAATCTTTCCTGCAGATAGAACAACACTTTTTGAATATATTCACACATTTTTGTTGTCAAAGCCGACATTTTTTAATTTTTTGTGCATTCTGTACCTTCAATTTCGACTGATTCACACATGCCACCTACTGTATGATGCTTTTCCAATACCGTCACGTTAGAGTAACCAAGCCTAGATAGTGCATAAGCAGCTGATATGCCACTTGGACCTGCTCCTATTATTCCAATTCTTGTATTTACAGGTAGACATGGATGTAACTTGGAAATTTGATCTTCTATTGGTATTTTTGGGTCCATCTCTTGTAACAAATGCACTTAATAAATTATATTATCAATCAAAGTTCCAAAACAATAATATCAGAGAAACCAACTGATCAAACAAAGATTTGAAACACAACCAAAGATTTGAAAAACAATTACTGAACAGATGAAAACAGGTAATTTTGCTTTTATTAAGTCTTAACCAAAAATGTCAATAAAAAAGTGGTTAGGAGAAACAAACCTTAAGAGAAAAATACAGAAAAGCACCTTAAGAGTCCTATTAACGTGGTTGAGAAATTTCATGCACTCTGTACAAACACCATTGTATTTGTCTCCAGAAGTTAAGAAATCAATTTTTAAGTTGTATTTTTTTTCACATATTAATTAATATTTTCTCTTTCCCACTTAACAGGAGCAATAAGAAACTGTTGAAGTTGATCGACTATAGAAACAGAAGGGAAGATGATGGCAATTGACAAAAGAAAAAGAAAAGAGAGGGAAAGCAAAGGCAAGTACTTGTATCTATTAATGGCAATTGACAAATGAATGTTAAAAGAAGAGAAATATCCTGATATATAACAAAAAAAAAAAAAAGCCCTCCGTTTCTCAAATACTTATCACATTTCAAAAAGTAATATTTTTTCAAAATAATAATTATTTTTTCCATTTTTAATCTTTGTAATATGATAAATTAAGAGTAGTACAGTCTATTCAATAGATAATTTATTATAACATATAGACAAATTAAATAATTTTTTAAGGAGTCTAAAATATCCAAATGTTACAAGAAATTTGAAAAAAGACATAATATAGTCAATTCATACCCACGATCCTCCATAACTCTACTCACTAAATCCACGTGTTTTATGCCCTTGCCTTTAAGATTTTTCTTTCATATTCATCGACAATTATCTTATCTCGTAACATAGTGCATGTTTGCAATAAATGGATTATACAAAATTTTTTAGTTATATTTTTAATATAAATTTTAATTTTTATGTTGGAATAAAATTATCAATTATTTTAATTATCTAAAATTATTGCCATATGTATTTTAAAATTAAATCAATTTTAAATTTTAAATTTATTTATTTTATATATAAAACCAAATCAATGTGTTTTATCTTATCTCATTTTGCCAGTGTTAGCTCCACACACCATACACAGACAAAGGCATCTTTTATGAATTTTAACTCTTGGCCAGAGATATCGTGTTACGGGATAAGATAATTGTTTTTTTCCTACAAATATATTACGGACAACATAGTGACACTCCAATTATTCTTGTTGAAATATCTTTATTGTGATATTTTTTTTAGATATTAATAATTTATATATTACGAGTTTACTATAATATCGTTATAGATTTGCAGGGAATTTCTTTTTCCCTTCCAAGTGTTTGGAAATCTAAATAAGGTTTGATTTTGTTAAAAAAATGTCGTAAAATTATAATTGTTTAGGTATAAACATATATATTATCCATGTATATTCTTGAAATTTGATATTTCAATATGTTTAATGTGATAATTGTGTTAAGTTATTATCAATTTAGAAAATAAATGTGCAATAGAGTTAATATAAGGTGATTTGATAATTTCTTTAAAGCTTTGTTTGGAAAGAATAATTTTTTTGTAGAAAGAAAATATGCAAGAATAATATTAAGTTTAATTCCTCGTTTGCAAAAGGGTGAGAAAAATATCAAAAACAATGAAAATATCTCTTCAAATTGGAAAAAATAATAATAAATGAATGGAGAAAATTGAAATATCTAATATGAAATTTATTTCCATTATTATTTTTTTCTTTTTTGTTTCGTCTCTCCATCAAAATACAAGAGTGGAATATAATTAAAATAATAATATTTTAGGAGAAAGAAAAAAAAAAAGGTAAATCTCAATTAATTAGATAGATCCACGATTTTCGTATAAAAAGTCAAAGTAACAAATAATAATAATATACTAATAAACTATAATGAAGAAGAAGGTTACAGACATCGATTGCAATGGAGAGCAAGGCAGCAGTTGGACATGTTTGGACTTTGGAGAATGGAGGGAAGGAAGAGTTCGACAATATATGAGAAAACGTGAAAGGTCGTTTTCGTTTATGATCTTCCCTCTTGTTTAAAAAAGGAAACTACAGAATATAAAGAAAACCAAATCAGTAGCAAATTGCTTCCATTTTCTCGCACTGTGTTCTGCTTCTTCTATCAAATGCAGGTACTTCCTCTGTCTCTCTTTGTACTGAAGTGAGAGAATGGCTTTTCTGGTTTCAATTTTCAACTCATGTTTTAAACAATAATTCGCATCTATTTAAAGTTAAATTGCATTCACCAAATTCAATAGCCTCTCCAGTTCTCTAAAACCGAAATAAGCTAGTTCAGAGGATCTGGCCCAAGCATAAAAATTATTTATTTCTTCTCAATTTCTATAAAGCTGGTAAATTTATTTAGAAGACCAGCCAAATGTAAAATGATTAAATTAGGACATCATAAACGCCAAGCTGCATATGGGGTTGACACTTTACCTGGACCTAACTATTTCTTCTTTCATGGCAAGTGAAAGAGAACTGAGATTGCCTCCACTTTCCACTATTACCCCTGGCATGGCAATTGCCCTGCTTCCCACAAACCCACCTTCTCCAACTTTTATTTTACCGAATTTAACCTTTCCTTCATCTCCTTCATATACGTGTCCAAACAAAAGAGCTTCTTTTCCAACACAGCCACCTTTCTCTATCTCCACCATTTCTGGATTCAATGCAGCTCCCATGCTATCTACGTAGGCCCCTTGATCCAATTCAATATCTGAACCCATCAATTTCAACCATAGATTAAACAAGACGGAGCCACTTGTCATTTCCATGAAATAATCCCCAACTACAGTTCTAAAAGCCTGCCATATTGTATCCCTGAAGACCCCTTTACTCCAAATTAATACTGTTTCCCCTTCTTTCTTCTTTCCCACAAGAATCCATTTGGCCACAACACAAGCTATTGCAGCAAGAATCCCTGAAGAAACCCAAACCAATGGGAGTAACCAACGAAGTGAAAGTTGCTTGCTTTCCTTCAAGAAAAGGACCCAGTTTAAAGGAGCAAAGATTACCAATCCCATGAGGAAATATGGAAACAACGTTTGCAACAATGGCTGAGCAAAAATGGCCCATGAAGTTTGATACCAAGTTCTTGCCAGAGTTACCTTTCCTGAATCTTTTTTCTCTAAAATTGCAGCCATTGGACAACCTGAAAGGTCTACTTTAACATCAGATTGCTCTATAAACGTTCTCCAAGCCTCTGGAAGGGGTTCCCCATTTCGCAAATGCTGACAAATTTCATAGATCAAAGAACGACCATGATCAATTGATGCACTTTGGGAGCATGATGTGGCTCTGATAACATCCACCTCAGAACATCTAAGGTAAGGATTAAACTCGAGTCTTTCTGATTCTTCACTGGTGAGATTTTGATCAATAGTAATTTCCCCAGCATCAAGGTATGGGAATTCAGTTTCATCCCATGGTCTGGTGCAGTCAAGTGCTATGTCACGAGTGGCTTCATCGGTTGGAACTGCTCGGACTTGCAGCTGGAAAATGTAGCGGACCCCACCAGGTGAACTTACTCGCCTATGGAAGTCTTCAGCAAGGAAAAGTAAGGGGCGAGTGTCTTTATCATCCCTTGGAATTGCACCAGTTTCTGGTGGGAGAATTCCCGTAGGCTCCACCTTACCCGAATCCTCAGTGGTGCAGTCAAGTGCTATGTCCCACGAGTGGCTTCATCGGTTTGGAACTGCTCGGACTTGCGCTGGAAAATGTAGCGGACCCCACCAGGTGAACCTTACTCGCCTATGGAAGTCCTTCAGCAAGGAAAAGTAAGGGGCGAGTGGTCTTTATCATCCTTTGGAATCGTGCACCAGTTTCTGGTGGAGAAATTTCCCTGAGGCTCCACCTTACCCGAAATCCTCAGTGAATGGTTCATCACAAAGGAACGCAGCTTGAAATTTTCACGAATTTCACATACATCTCCTGTCCATCTGTGAACCTGAAAAGCCTGCAAATATTGGAGTAGTAATGTAGCTCAGCATATGAATCGGCATTGCGAAGAGACGTCCACACTGCATCACGGACATGTGGGGCCCGTTTCACAAATTCCTCCCTTGCTGGAAGTCCACACACTAGCCATGTTGCAAAATCAGCAATTGTTCGGGCATAGAATGCGTTGCCTGTTTTCAGTGTCAGGTCAAGGATTGAGGCCTTACCTCTAAGTTCTTTTTCATTTGAAAGTATTCTTATCGATGCACCACGTGCATCCATTCTTGCATCATCATCAGCACTTAAGCTATTGCTGTGGCGAATTACAATGGGATACCTCTTACCAGCATGGAAAATCTTGTGTTCAGGGAATCCTTTGATGTTGTCATAAATGTGCAGGTATCCCTTCCCACTAACACCAATTCGATGGAAGTACCTTGATTTGACCTTCAAAGTTGTGGCGGCCAAATTTGCAGCTAGATTACCAACTATCTTCTTATATTTAGTGTCCATCTCTTCAATTCTGTCATCCAAAGCATGCATAGTGTTCTTGATCATAATAGGAGTTTGAGACCCAATATAAACGCCACCGCTATGAAGAACTGAATTCAATGGAGCAACTGAAAGAGCACCAAGAATTACATCTTTCTGAACAACTGAGCCAGGGAGAACCAGACTCTGACTCCCAACAACTGAATTTTCCTGCACCTCAATTTTCCCTTGTGTGAACCCATTGGCTGAATAGAACCCAGCAATTATCCGACTGAAGTCACCAAGATGAACGCCAGCACCTAGTGTAATCAATTCAGGATCTGATACAGGGTTGATGGCCCTGATAGAACAGTGTTTCCCAACCTTTGCACCAAGGAGGCGTAAGTACACGCAAAAGGCTTCTGTTCCTGACAGGAGCTTGGCGAATCTAAGGTGGCAGGCAATAGTAATTCGATGGCGAAGCCAAGTCTTAAGGTGGGATTGCTCTTTCTCTTGTTGTCCAGAAAGAAAAGGGGTCAAAGTGCAGGTAAGGACGCTAAGTATCAAGCCATGAGTTAAGTAGGCAATAGCAACTGAGATTGAAAAGTGTACTGGATTTAACGCAACATTAGCAAACATTGTGGCGTAAGCAACAAGGGTGAATGGAATCCAGTGAAAGGCTCCACAGATGCAAAGAAATGAGAAATGTTGAAGGGAGGCATGTTTTTGAGATAGCCAAATGAAAAGGAGGTAGATGATGGCTGCTGAGAGAGTGCTGAGGAAACCGATCATATAGATGCCCATCAAGTGGCAAATGGCGTCATTTTGAGACATGTTTGGATTTTGCTGCATTGCACCCTGAAACAATGGGAGAAAAGAAGTGAAGTGATTAAATTTCAATCATTTTTTTTGTATTTTAAATGTATAATACAATTTATCTAGAGGACGAATTCACAGTATCGTCCGTATAGGAAAAAAAAAAAAAAAAACAAATGCTTTACTTGTAAATAGGTTTTCAACTTCTAAGTGCATTTTTAGGCTATATACTTACAGAATGTAGTAATAAAGGGAAAAGTGACGTAAATGGACCATTTTATCTTTCCTCTTTTATAATTTTCTTTTGAAAAAAAAAATGTCGTTGGACTTTATGGGTGATTATATAAAATCAATAACCTGAAAGAATTTACCTTTTGAATATTACGAACCTTGCTAGAATTAAATGCAACCTTGCCTCCTTCACACTTTTGCAGGGGTGGTACATGTGCATCTTCTCCCAAAACATTTCCTTTCTGGATTACAGCATATGGACCAACTGAAGAATTTCGTCCGATTCTAATTGGGAGGAAGCTTAAGATTCCATTCTTCACCTCATGGGCTTGAATCAATGCCCCTTCTGCAATGACAGCTCCATCTCCGATAGAAACCAGAGATGGGTCTGTTATGGCAGTAGTATCTAGTACAACTGATGACCCAATCTTGGCTCCAAGCATCTCAAACCAATAATTAAGGAATGGTGTTCCTCTCAAATGTTCTGCAAAAACTTTTGAAGAAATTTCCTGAACCTTATAAAGCGCCCACCACTTCACAAAATCTACTGACCAGATGGAGATATCTGGGTTCAGGGCATAGTTTGGTCTCAAGAAAGAATTTCCAAGGAAAGCAATACAAATACAGGTAGAAACCATGCAAAATATCCAAGCAAGAGGAGCTGAGGCCAAAGGAATTAAATAACTTGACCAGTGAATTTTATCTATTGATGCATGGTCGGTTGAGGTCAAGGTTGTAAAACCAGAAATTGATAAATAAGCAGGAAAGCTTAGCATGATTGAAACATAAATGAGAGCAAGAAATTGTAAAATCCAAATAAAGATTTGGTGAGTCTTGGAAATTTCAGTTACCACAGGTAGAAACCATGCAAAATATCCAAGCAAGAGGAGCTGAGGCCAAAGGAATTAAATAACTTGACCAGTGAATTTTATCTATTGATGCATGGTCGGTTGAGGTCAAGGTTGTAAAACCAGAAATTGATAAATAAGCAGGAAAGCTTAGCATGATTGAAACATAAATGAGAGCAAGAAATTGTAAAATCCAAATAAAGATTTGGTGAGTCTTGGAAATTTCAGTTACCAGATCAATAGAATCAATATCAGGTTCCGGAAGATGCGATGAAGAGTTCATTAGATGAGGTTCAGACTTCATCACAAGATTTTCTGAAAAGCTTGCCAATTCTGCAATGCAAGTGGCCGTGAAGATATCCACTGCTCCAACTGGTACTCCAAGGAAATCTGAAAGTTTTTGAGCTGCTCTAACTACACCTATTGAGTCAATTCCATAAGCTACTAGATTCTCTGTTGTGGAGATGTTCTTGACAGGAATTCCCGTTTGCTCAGAAATGAGCACTTTTAGAAACTCTACAATTTCTTTGTTTCCCAATTTAGGTGTCAGTATGGGAGAGCTCAGTAGCTGTTGTCGGGGTGTTCTTCCTTCCTTACATGTTCCTGTGGTGAATGACCGAACCAATGCTCTTTTTGACAAAATTGGGTCTGGCACAACATTCAGAGTTCCATCGGTAAAATTCTTGAGGCATTCAAATCTCTTGATTTTACCTGATGTTGTTTTGCTAATGGTTCTTGGCTTGATCAACTTGACACAAGCCACAGAAACACCATGTTCCTCTGTAACTCGGGTTTTAATGTCTTCAACAACATCTTTATCAACTGGTTTACCATCTCTAACTTCCGCAATTACAACCAAGCCAACCTGATCAGAACCATCCGGAACTGAAATCCCTTTTGCTGACAAGACTTCTTCTGGAACACCAACCACTGCACAACAACCTGGGCGTAGAAGTTCCGATGCACTTTCAACCGTCTTTTCTACGTCTGCCGAGTAAATGTTTCGTCCTGCTACAATGATTAGATCCTTGATTCTTCCAGTAATGAACAATTTCCCATCAATAATTCTTCCCAAGTCTCCAGTACTAGTGTATATTCTTCCAGGATGATTTTTAAGCACATTTCTAAAAGTTCTTTGGCTGTGTTCTTCCCTTCCCCAGTACCCAACTCCAGCACTCGGGCTACTAATCCATATCTCTCCTTCCTTTCCAACTTCTTGTAACTCTTCACCAGTCTCTGGATCAACTATTCTGATATCAACATCTGCATCATCTGAATAGGCATAACCACAACAAACTCTTCCTTGCCAATCAATCAAGATTGGCTTACTTTCCCCATATGCACAACTGACGAAGACACAATTCTCTGCCAAGCCATAACCAGGTGCCATCACCTCTTGAGAAAGGCCAAATGGACGAGTGAGCTCAACAAATCTTTTCAGGGTTTTCTGCCTCACTGGTTCAGCAGCAACCATTAGGAAAATCATGGAAGAGAGCTCATAATTATGTAGTTTTTCCTTTTCTGTCTCAAGTCTTCGAACAACTAGCTCGAAAGCAAAGTTGGGACCAGCACTATGAGTAGCCTTGTATTTGCTCATGATGTGAAGCCATAAGAGTGGTTTCTTGATGAAGGTCATTGGTGAAAACAGAATTGCAGATCCACCACTAACTAGAGCAGTAAAAAGTCCACCGATTAGCCCCATGTCATGATACTGTGGAAGCCAACTTACTAATACTGTCTTTGAGGTGCTCTTGTACCTCCTTCTCATCAACTTCACATTGTGAATGAGCCCACCATGAGTTATCATGACACCTTTAGCATCACCGGTAGATCCTGATGTAAATTGCAGAAAACACAGATCATCAGGATGAGAGTCAGATTGATAACTCATATTTTCTGGAAGAGAATCTTTGGAGTTCTTTGTCCAAGAATCTGTGTATAACCACAGAAGATTAGGCCAGCGAGCAGAAGATTTCCCCTTTTTTACTGTCAGTGAGATCAAACTCTTCACAGAACCTGCTCGAACTGCTGTGTGATAAAGACGGGTAGATAAAATTGCCACTGCATTACAAGACTTGGCAATGTTTTCAATCTTCAGAAGTGCTTGCCCACCTCTTTGTAGCGGATCTGGTGGAAGAACTGGGACTGGTAAGACTTTAGCTATTAAGCAGCCGAAGAATGCATCAACAAATTCCAGGCCTGGTACATGGACTAGGAGGACCCTGTCACCAGGCTTGATAACTGGTTTTTGACTGGTTAATAGCTTATGAGCAATGCAAGAAGCGTTGACAAGAAGTTCTGCATAAGTTCTCTGGCATACCACTGCCCCTTCTTCATTAATCCAAGTGTAAAGCGTTGTGTTTTGTGTGAGTTTATGTGTTCCCCAGTGTTTCAAGTAGCCCGTAAGGGTAGATAGATCAGGGAACTCGACACCTGGATACTCCCCTAGTTCTTGTGGTTTTCTGTCCCAGCGATCCGATTGCAACGGAAACAGACTCTGCAGTATAACACGGGTATGCTAAGCTCTAAATTACCCATACTCAAATACTATAGTACTATCTAATTATCCTACTGTCACTTATAAATTTCAGAATGTCAATTACCTTGACATATGGAAACACTGGCAAAGGATCGTTATTTGCAAAGTGTTTGCAGATTAGTGCCATGGCATAAGATGAATTTCTCTCTGTAAGCTCAAATGCCATGAGTCCACCTACATAGTAAGTGTTATGCAGACCTTGAAGTTCAGCTTCCAATTTCTGATAGAATCCATCCTTCATATCTGTTCTCAAATCAAAATAAAGAAACATATTAATATCCCTCTTCTCTTAGAGTTTATCATAGACTCACAGGAGTAGTTCAACCGGCAATACCTTCGCTACTAACATGAGGAAAATATTGAAATCTTCTTTGTAGAACCACCTTCTCAACTTCTGCCCCCATGTTTTTAACTACTTTGGTTGCAAGATCAGTGACAGTTGGTCCCTTAATGTCAACCGAGTTTCCATAAGACCAGAACAAGAAAATGTCTGTGTCAGCATAGAATTTCTGCACTGCAACTGGATGTCCAATTGTTGTTGGATCGTCCATATATTCACCAAAGTAATAAAATCCGGTTGGCATATCTTCTAGCCCTTTGATTTTTAGAACAGTGGTGTAGTAATCGATTGTCTGAACTTTGCTGAACAGCTCTCTTTCAAGCTTATCAAGATCCATCACTTCATTTTGAAGTTCTGCAACAAGAATTTATATCCTCTGACTTTCCTAAAATCATGATAAAAATATAAATTAAGAGGTAAAGCACTCAAGAAACCTGTTGGATCTGCAGTTGGTGATCTGTAAGTTTTTCCATTTCTGAAAGAAAAAGCACCAGAAACAATGATCTTGTCAAATTCCATCACTTTGAATTCCCCATTGCAATTTTTTAGATCAACGCTAACACTGTCAGAATTGCGTCTGACTGCCAATACTTCAGTTCTGTAAAGAACTTCAATTGGAAGTGATTCAATGAGCTTCTGCCAAAGACTAGTGTATCCACTCTTGAAACGCCGTATCTTTCCAGCCATAGAAGTTCGAGTGAACTCATGAATGTATGCGTAAGGCATGTCTTGAGGAAACCCATAACCCGAAGCAGTGTATCCATAAGCCACAGATTTGGGGATAGATTTAAATCCGCGACACAAATAATATGCTGGAGTTAAATCTGAAGCATATTCACTCACAGCTCGGACACCAATGTGACCCGAATCTTTAGCCTTATCCTGGAAAGATCAAAATAGAAAGTTATAATTAATATTGGCAGCCAAGACTCTATATATGAGGCAAAAATCAAGAACAGGGCAGGATAAGTGAAAACCTGGAGTTCTAAGGTCAGTGAGATTACAGATACATAATCGTCTGCAACTTTAATGTCCTCATATTTACCCGTAGAGCTGTCTATCAGAGCAAGCTTGTGTGAGTCCATATCTTCTAATTCAGACTCAGTTTCCTTTGCAAGTTGAAAGATGACTGGTGCACTATTTTTAGCAAGCACTTGACCACCCAGATCGTAAATCTTTCCTGCAGATGAGCAGAATACTTTTTCAATGTATTTACACATTTTTGTTATGAAAGCTGTTTTTTTCTTTTTTGAGCATTCTTTACCTTCAATTTCGACTGATTCACACATGCCACCTACTGTATGATGCTTTTCCAATACCGTCACATTAGAGTAACCAAGCCTAGATAGTGCATAAGCAGCTGATATGCCACTTGGACCTGCTCCTATTATCCCAATTCTGGTATTTGCTGGCAGACATGGATGTAACTTAGAAAATTGATCTTCTATTGATATTTTTGGGTCCATCTCTTGTATTTAGGTCTGTGACTGACAGAAACTGTTGAAAGCGGATAGCAAACTAAGTTATTGAGCTCATCTTCTCTCTACTTCTGATTCTTGGATATAAAATAATTAACAAGACACAATACGAGTGTCTTTGAATAATCCAAATTCTTAACTTAGAAACTTTGCTTTGACAATATTCTCGATGGTTCAATCAATGCTCCTAATCATTTTTATTATTTCTTTCTTTTTTCCATCTCAGCAAGAAAAATAAACAAGTGAAGAGAGCATTTCCTGAATCTTAACATGATTATTTATTTTTTTCTTTTGTCCATGTAAAACAGGCAGAATATATTTCAACCGTTAAGCAATTATAACATATTAACTAAAGATGCCAGAAAAAAGAAAAAAGTGTTCAAGAACCTTAGAGACAGAAGAAATGCAGAAAAGAACCTTTTAAGTCCTAAACCTGCTTGATAAATTTGCTGCACTCTGCACAACACCACTGTCTCCATAAGTTAAGAAACCAAATATTTTGTACGTTTCAGACATTAATCTTTTCTGTTTCGCACTTAGCAGGAGTAACAAGAAACTTAAAAATAAACAGAAAAGAGAGCGAAGCAAAGAAAGTAACAAACCTTAAAGCTGAAGTAGGCAACTGGGTACGTATTTGAGCATTGAGTTAAACAACTAGTGACAAATGGCATGCAATTGAGAAATGTTAAAAGAAGGAGGCCGTTTCACCACCCATAAAAAAAATGCTTATATCATACCCGAATTTATAACACAACAGATCCTCTAAAACTACACTTACTAAACGACAAGTCTATCTCACTGTTCCAATATCTCGGTTATTCCGATAAATTTCAATTAAGGAATTGCGAATTATTCCAGGTTTATGCTTGTACGTGGCACTGGTAACTCCGTCCTGATAAGAATAACCTGTATAAAAGCAAACATGACTGTGGATTGTGGATTATATAAATTGTGAATTTATAATTACATTGGGTGCGTAAAAGGTACACAGGGATTTGGCTCGGATCTATGGATATGAAGCGGCGAACCGGCCAATGTTAAACTAAAGTTGGATTTTTGGGAGACATGATCGTTTTAGGAACCCATCTCTGCAAATTCAGTTGAAAGAACTTTGCAAACTAGAGTATTTCTTGTTTTTTTGGTTCTTTTAAAGTAAATTTGACGTTTGAGCGGTTTTACAAGGAAACTGCGCGGGAGGGAAACGGTGACCGTTAAATACCGGTAGAACACTAGTGCCATTCCGTCAAATAATTATTAGTTCAGGTTAATTAATAGATAATGAAAAGTTGAAAATATTTAATGATTGAATTAAAAAAAATATATATGTTAAATGATTGGAAAGCGAAGTCTCATCGCATCCTTTGGTTTTTAAATAATACGACGACAATTACTATAGTTAACTTTAACATTAATTACCATAACCACCCGCCAATTACTATGTTGATTTTTTTTTTTTTGGGGTATATTAAAGGTGTTCAGGATCACTGTCTCAAACAATCCGATTATTCTATTTTGCCTTGGTATAATCTAGAAAGGCACAGAACAGGCAATGAAAGCTGCTCAAGTGCATACATGAAAACCAAATTGACCAAAGAGAATATTTAACTACAGGTGATTGTTCTCCTGAAGGTAGGCAGGATTACGAAATTTGTATATTTGGACAAGCTAAAAAAAAAAAAATGCTCTGGAAGTTGAAAATTGGACCCTGAAATTGGCACATGTTGCCTTGCTTCAATGACTGCATAAACAGACATAAGCAACAGATCAGGAACTGAACAAGGACCCAGAATTGTGTTCATAGCAAGCAGTCAGATCTTGAAGGCAACCTAGTCAAGAAGTTGAGGGGACTTAGAGGAAGCTTGCTGCGAAACCAGCGATGTCTTAATACATAAATGCCAGTGAGAATGACCACAATTCGGAAAGGAATGTAATAAAAAAATGCAGCAGCAATCAAACAGAATATCGTGAATATAGTGGTTGCCCTTGGATCTCTCCATCGTACCAGATACTGAAATCTTTCCCCTTGACTTGCCAGGTCTTCAGCTATTGTGGAAACCTTTCCTCCCCAACTCCTGAGACGGTCATATCGCATTCTAACGATATCTGATGGCTGGGAAGTTGGATATGTGTCAAATTCTTCGTCAAGTTCATCAATATGTGAATCATTAGCATGAGATACCAGACTATCCTCCACCCAAGGAGGGTGTCTAGGCCTCCAAAAGTAGTTCCAAATCCCAATCATTGAAAGGCAGAAGAAAAATGCAGGAGGTATTAGCTTGGGATGAAGAACAGAGAAAATGAATACGATGTGAATTAAAATAGTGGTAAAAGGATGCTTCCAGTTGCATATATCATCAAACCCCTTTCCAATAGCAATTAGCCTACCCACAAATCTGAAATAATTAGTTTTGCTCCTCCGCATACTCCACATATGTGAATGCTCTTCTAGCATATTTTCCACAACTTCCTTCCTCAGAGGTGGCTCAGCTCGGCTCAAGCTCAAGGAGACAAGTTGCATGGTTTGGTGCCTCGAGTTATCAAGTTGCATCACAGACAATGGGTGGATGTAGTGCATTTTAGGTAACAATGGATGTGAATAACTAGATAACATATTAATGAATGATAAGCATGTAAACCTCATACTTAAATGAACTTCTCCCATTTTCTTTACTCCAGAAGAATGTAAAACTAGAAGAGGATATGAATTTGTGTAAACTCTACCAGTTTCGAGTGTGGATAGCTGAATCTGAACTTTCCCAATTTTTATATCCTCTTCCCCTCCAGCATTCCCATATATGTGACCATTATCAAAGACACCTATTGTAATGCTGGTACATAGGTCAAAAACCTCCCAAGTGTACTGTTCATTCCACTTCGGAGACAAGCTATCAACAATTGTCCTTGTTCGGACCCATTTCCTCCCATATTTAGCCACACAATAGGCATCTGCAGTTCCTCGTCCATCCTTTGACTTCATATTCTTCAATCCCACAGCACCTATAATCCCGAGTTCCAAAATCCCAATGCTGGTCCTCCACAACTGCTTTGCTGTTGGCCTAAGATCACTTCTATAGTGCCATGATTCATCCAAAACATTATAACCACCCTCTAAACAGATCCTCAAATGGATCCTACTGGCAAACTTTAACTTTGGCTCCCGTGCGCCTTCTTCAATACGCTTTTCGAGATTAAACCACCTAGTGTTAACCGGCCTATGGTCTATCCTCCTCTCCACAATATGTAAAGGGATCACACACCTCCCCAAAATTTCATCTTTGTTTGGTCCTACTCTGTCTTCCACAGAAAAAATCAAATGCTCCTCAAAAGGTTCAGCAACTACAAATATCAAGTCTTCATTCCACATTGGATGGATACTCCTACTTTGGGAAATTCTAGTTCTCAATGCTTGATTTCCTCGAATGACCTTCACAAAAGCTTCAGGGAGCCTAGTTTCATCACCAGGTACCAAATCCTGAGCTTCAATCACATTGACCCTAACATACCAAAGCTTAGGTGAAAGATATACCTTTGATCGGATGCTTGCAATCCAATCAGGACCAACAGCTGCTGCATCTGAATGCCAAGCATCGGGGAATGACTCATCAGCCTGAGTTCCCATCCAGACAGCCAACATCAGCTCTCCAGCCTTAATTTTATCCCCCTTCTGGTCTTCCAATCTATACCACTGTGTTGCCAAAGGACTATCAGGGGGAACACGCTTTGGGATTTCATTTAGCTCAAACAAAACCCTTCCAATCAAGTCATCTAAAACAACATCCTTATCTTTCACTGAGACCTCCAAAACCGAAGCTTGAATTGTATCTTTGGAGAAAGCAAAGACCTGATTCCACTCAGGGTTTAATGACTTCTCAAAATGCTTAGTTATTCCCTTATAGTTTCCAAGCTTTACCTCAATATAAGGATTACAGCCATCAGTATTATTATCTGGCAAATCCTTTGCTTTCACTACACGAACAAATAGATATTGCATTTGTTCAACAAGGTCATAGGTGCATGCAAGCTTATCAGTTGTGACAACTCCTGCACCAATGTTTGGCGAGGTCTGCTTTAGACCAAAATCAACAAGTTGTGGAGGTTTCTGCATTTCCCCTAATTGACACTAGTGAAACCAGAGATACAGAAACACAACCCCAGAATCAGGTTAAAACAAACACGGATAAGTTTCAATAGAGGTGAATGCAGTGTCAGGATTTAAAAAGGCTTCAAAGACCAAAGCCTCAGCTGTTTTTTCAAATATCAGTTTATCTGGAAAAATTCAGTGGCGAAGATGCAATAAAGATGACGATATTTGTGAGCGTAACCAACTCGAAGGTGGCAGCACAAAAAACGTGAAAGCATGCAAAGTAGACGCTTTTAGAAAAGGGAACCGAAACAGGAACTAAATGGTTTAATACCAGAAAACCAGATAAATTATCATACAGAAATAGAACATCATAGCAACTCCTTCTGCGAAACCTCTTGACCAAAACCACAAGTAGTGACTAGTTGCAAAGGCAGAGCAAAACTAACCCCAGGGTTATATATGATTCAGAGCGAACAAACACAGAATCCATAAGAAATAAAAGAAGAAGAAGAAGAAGAAAAAGCACCTCCTTATTGAAAATCTCCCACTCAGTCAGCAATGAATTAGACATGTAACTTCTTTTGTATTATCGCGTCGGTGATTCAGTTCAGTAGATTTGCGAGACTCAGATGAGTCTGAGTCAACGCCAGAAATTGAAAATCTCAAATTATCAAGGTTAATTAAAGACTAAAACGTGATGTGACGTCTCATAAACAAAACTTAAGTTCATTTTATATGATTGGGCCTAACTCAGCCCAGATCAGACCAGACCAGGCCAGGCAGTCGCTTTTGCTAGTTGGGCCAGAACAGGTCCATTCCTCTGGCTTGATGAAAGATACACGAGTGGGATATTTTAACAAAAGACGCGGTAGTCGAACGACCTGTCATTTTATATACAGATGACGACGTGACATCGTTCAAAGATTATTTTAAGTTTTTAACGATGATAGACGACGTCGTTGAATAAATGAGCTTGTTTTATCATATTACCATACAGATTAGAAGATTTAAATGCAGAAAAAGGAACCACACAGATCAGTTTAATTAACCACACAGATCAGCTTAATTAAACTTTTTTTTTTTTTCATGTCAAAAAAAAAAAAAAAAATTTAATTAATTTTATCATATTATCCATACCAGATTAAAGGATTTTAAATCAGAAAAAGGAACCAACAGATCAGTTTATATTAACCACACAGATCAAAGCCTTAATTAAACTTTTTTTTTTTTCATGTCAAAAAAAAAAAAAAAAATCTTAATTAAGCCAACATACTTAGTAAAAAAAAAAAAAAAAAAATTTAATTAAGCCAACATACTTAGTACCCACATTAATTGATTGCAATGAATAGAAATCAATAAAGTCATCAACGAGAGAAACTACAATGTTAAGGATTTTAACAGTACAAATAGGCAAAAAATGACATTGTCCCTGCAGCTTTTGCCTTGCTAAAATGCATATTTTTGTTTATTATATCATGCTATCTGACCTTGCAGGTAACCTTCTGAAGAAATTGAGATGAACTGAAGGGAGCTTGTGGCGGAATCTGGGATGTCTTAACACATAAAGACCAACCAGTAGAGCAACAACTTGAAAAGGAGTAACATACAGGATTACAGCAGCTTTTAGACAGAATATCACAAATAGAGTAGTTGCTCTTGGATCTCTCCAACTAAGCAAAGACTGGAATCTTTCACCTTGAGTTGCCAAGTCTCCGACTACTGTCTGTACCCGTCCGGCTATACTTCTAAGACGATCATATCTCATTCTGACAATATCTGATGGCTTGGTGGTAGGGAATGTATCAAATTCTTCATCAAGTTCATCAGGATGGGCTGCATCAGCATGGGAGAGTCTGATGTCCATGTGAGGAGGGTGTCTGGGCCTCCACCGGTAATTCCAAATTCCAATCAAGAAAAGGTAAAGAAAGATCGTTGGCAGTATTAGTTCAGGATAAAGGACTAAGATTATGAAAAGAATGTGAATCAAAATAGTTGTAAGAGGGTTTTTCCAGTTACAAATTTGGTCGAACCATTTTCCAACTGCAATCAAACCTCTTAGGACGCCCATAATTCTAAAAAAATTGGCTTTGCTTCTCCTCATACTCCACATATGTGAATCCACATCTAGCATATATTCCACAATCTCCTTCCTTAGAGGTGGCTCGGCTCGGCTCAACCTCATAGAGACAATTTGCATAGCTTGGTGCCTCAAGCTATCAAGTTGCACCACAGATAATGGATGGATGTAGTGCATTTTGGGTAACAATGGATGTGAATACATATGTAACATGTTAATCAAAGATGAGCATGTGAACCTTACAGCTAATTGAACTTCACCTGTCTTTTTAACACCTGAAGGTTGCAATACTATAAGAGGATATGAATGTGTGTAAACTCTATCAGTTTCAAGTGTCGATAGCCTAATCCTCACTTTCCCAATTCTTGAATCCTTCCCCCCTCCACCTCCCCCATGTACATGACCATTATCAAATACCCCTATAGTAATGACAGTACAGGGGTCGAAAACTTCCCAAGTGTATTGTTCATTCCATCTTGGAGTGAAACTGTCAACAATTGTTCTTGTCCGGATCCATTTCTGTCCATACTTAGCTACACAATAGGCATCCGTGGTTCCTCGCCCCTCCTTGGTCTTCATAGGCATGAGCCCCACAGCATTGAGAATCCCAAGTTCCAAAATCCCAATGCTAGGCCTCCATAGTTGCTTTGCTGTTGGCCTAAGGTCACTGCTATAGTGTGTTGATTCATCCAATACATGATAACCACCATCTAGACAAACTCTCAAATGGATTCTACTAGCAAATTTGATCTCCTTCTTTTGTTCCACTTCTGCAGTCACATGCTTTTCAAGATTATACCACCTAGTGTTGACCGGCTTATGGTCTAGCCTTCTCTGCACAATCTGCAAAGGGATCACACATTTCCCCAAAATTTCATCTTTGTTTGATCCTACTCTATCTTCCACTGTCAAAATCAAAGGCTCCTCGAAAGGTTCAGCAACTACAAATATCAAGTCTTCATTCCACATTGGATGGATACTCCTACTTTGGGAAATTCTAGTTCTCAATGCTTGATTTCCTAAAGTGACCTTCACAAAAGCTTCAGGGAACCTACTTTTATCACCAGGTACCAAATCCTGAGCTTCAATCACATTGACCCTAACATACCAAAGCTTAGGTGAAAGATATACCTTTGATCGGATGTTCGCAACCCCATCAGGACCAACGGCTGCTGCATCTGAATGCCAAGCATCAGGAAATGACTCGTCTGCTTGAGTTCCCATCCAGACAGCTAACATCAGCTCTCCTGTCTTAATTTTATCCCCCTTCCGGTCTTCCAATCTATACCACTGTGGTGCCAAAGGACTATCAGGGGGAACACGTTTTGGGACATCATTTAGCTCAAACATAACCCTTCCAATCAAGTCATCTAAAACAACAGCCTTGTCTTTCACTGAAACCTCCAAAAAGGAAGCTTGAATTCTCTCTTTAGAGAAAGCAAACACTTGATTCCACTCAGGGTTCGTCTTCTTCTCAAAATGCTTAGTTGTTCCCTTATAATTCCCAAGCTTTACTTCAACATAAGGATCACAACTACCAGTAACATCTTTACCGGGCAAATCCTTGGCCTTCACCACACGAACATACAAATATTGCATTTGTTCAACAAGGTCATAGGTGCAGGCAAGCTTATCAGCTGTGACAGCTCCTGCACCAATGTTTGGTGAGGTCTCCTTTAGAGCAAAATCAATAGCTTGTGGAGGCTTCTGCATTTTTTCTCTAATTTACACCAATAAAACCGTGATGCAAAAATGCCACCCAACAATTAAGCTAAAAGAAATCAGGACTTCCAAAATTAGGATTTTGAATAGGCTGGAATCAGAATGAAATATCAGGAATTGAAAAGGCTTCAAAGACTTCAATTCCAGTAATTTCTAGGCAATTCGGTTATGCAAACTTGATGAAGGGGTAGAGAGGAAGCTAATTAAGGCTACTATGAATGGAACAGCTCAAAGCGCTAACATAAAGAATTTGGAAGCAAAATACAGGCATGTGATCTTACAGTTTCAAGATAAACAGATACAAGGATTAAAATGAGAAATATTGAATCAGAGAACCTCCATAGAATATCCTTCAAAACGAAGTAACAAAGCAACTCCAGGAACCTCAGCGAAAGCTCAAGTCTCTGCAAAAGCAAAAGAAAACACCCGCAGTTAGCATTATTGCTCATTATATTTGTTTAGGTACTGAGAAAATGAAAGAAAACTCAAGAAAATGACACTAAGACACCATACGAGGTTCTAAAATATGAGAAGTGAAAAACAATAAAAAAAATAATACCAAATTAAGCCAAGCAGTAATATTAAGATCAACCATATGGACCCAAATGATTTATGTTCCAAAGTTTAAAACAGAACCAAACTTTGCATTTGTTCAACAAGGTCATAGGTGCAGGCAAGCTTATCAGCTGTGACAGCTCCTGCACCAATGTTTGGTGAGGTCTCCTTTAGAGCAAAATCAATAGCTTGTGGAGGCTTCTGCATTTTTTCTCTAATTTACACCAATAAAACCGTGATGCAAAAATGCCACCCAACAATTAAGCTAAAAGAAATCAGGACTTCCAAAATTAGGATTTTGAATAGGCTGGAATCAGAATGAAATATCAGGAATTGAAAAGGCTTCAAAGACTTCAATTCCAGTAATTTCTAGGCAATTCGGTTATGCAAACTTGATGAAGGGGTAGAGAGGAAGCTAATTAAGGCTACTATGAATGGAACAGCTCAAAGCGCTAACATAAAGAATTTGGAAGCAAAATACAGGCATGTGATCTTACAGTTTCAAGATAAACAGATACAAGGATTAAAATGAGAAATATTGAATCAGAGAACCTCCATAGAATATCCTTCAAAACGAAGTAACAAAGCAACTCCAGGAACCTCAGCGAAAGCTCAAGTCTCTGCAAAAGCAAAAGAAAACACCCGCAGTTAGCATTATTGCTCATTATATTTGTTTAGGTACTGAGAAAATGAAAGAAAACTCAAGAAAATGACACTAAGACACCATACGAGGTTCTAAAATATGAGAAGTGAAAAACAATAAAAAAAATAATACCAAATTAAGCCAAGCAGTAATATTAAGATCAACCATATGGACCCAAATGATTTATGTTCCAAAGTTTAAAACAGAACCAAACTGGAAAAAGTTTCTTCCTTTTGTACATTTTTCACAGCCACCAAACAGCATGTACTCAATGGTAATGGTTTTTCAGTTTCTAACACTAACCAACAGATCTACTGCAATGAATAAACAAATACTGATATTGAAATAAACCGACAAGTAAGCCCAACTTTTCAAAGCTACAAGGTATTCCATTACTTTACGAGTGAACAAACAGAGCTTAACTTTCAACAACTACCAAAACTAACTTCAAACAACACTACCCTTTAGTCTTTACATTGCATTCTTAACAGCACAAGAAACTTAAAATGCACCTCAAACGCTAGTCTAGAAGACAAGAGAAGGAGCTCTTCTAGGCGCAAAGCTGAAAAGTCGTTGAATTTTTATTTTTTGGTAAAATAGAATAAAAAGAAAATGTGGGTAATGTAATGGAGTTAAACTGTTAAAGGAAGTTTGAAGAGTGAAGTAATATATATATATATATATAAATAAGCACATTAAGTGAGATAGGTAAAAGACTGAATCTCCTCCCACTACAGAGGCAGTTCAAAAAAATAAAGAAACAGAGTACCTACTCATCAGTACCAACTTCATTACTGAGAGCCTTTATTTACTATTTTGATGATCAACCACGTACAATTTTCCTTTCTTGTTTCCGCTCATACCATTACTATTGCTCAGGGAACTGAGGCACACGTGGTGGTCGGTTTGTTTGGGAGCTGGGTAGTGGTCTGGTGGGTTTTTATTTCTTGAACTTCGGACTTGGATATGAAACGATTCTTTTAATCTCTTCCTTTTGGTTTTCTCATGGCTCATGATATTTGAATATCTACCTAATTAGATTAATTGTCTTATTAATCATCTATAAATAAAAGTTCAAAGTTGTAAGTATCATTTTCATTTAAATTAAACAAGTTATTCATCTTTGTTCTAACCTTATTTTCATATTTCCTTACCTTCACTACACGTGAATATTAATTTTCATTATGAAAAAGACATTGTAACAGACGTTCTTATCATGGCATCAAAAGTCAACTTAATGCCCATTCTTGTAAGAAACACCGTCTAGAACTAAAATATCATTAATAAATTTATGAGAGAGTGACTATGCCCAGCCCAGCCCAGCCCAGCCCTTTTATATAGCCACCGGATCATTAGGCCGAATCGGGTCAAAGCCCAATCCAATACAATTTCTCGTGTGAAAATATCGTCGATATGTACGGGAAGTACGGCCGCATTAACATAAAAAGTAAGACAGTGCAGTCCAGCTCAGCTTTAACTATTCGTAGAAGACAAAGGTAATGATATTGTCTAGTAACAGTTACTAGGAGATTTTCTAAACAGAAGCATAATCATTTTGACATGGAAGGGTATTATAGTCATCTCAAATGTTATTGTCCTCTAATATTTTGACAGCTGGTCATTGTAACGTCTGTCGATGTAGGATTTTGAACCACTGTACTGTATTGGGTGAACTCTGCAGGCTCCCGTTCTTTGTTTCTCGCCGAAACTACGGGCTACTGCGACGCGTGCAACTTCATCTAATAAACAATTTAACCCTAAAAAAGAAAATAAATTACGGAGGTCTCTTTCTTCTCAAGCTTACAAGATCACAAAATTTAAACATTAAGTTGAAAGTTGGTACAAAATACAAACAGCATCATGGAGTGAATATTGAAAAAGAAAAACAACCAAAAAGATGTCCATACCCAAAATTCATAGTCTCCATGATTAGCATTTAATGGGGCCAAGTATATTGAAACCTTGAAAACAACAGCTAACTTCTTGCACCCTAACCTCATCAATGCAAAATTGCAAATTGCCCTTCTTCATGGTTTGACAACAACATCCAAACGCTATGTCTATTCTTTGTATATTTAGCAGTTGAGAAAAGTAATGGATGCGAATCGGTGTTAGGTGCAGTTGGTTTTGAAAGAGTGTACAAATTAAAGGATTTAAAAATGTGGACAAATCAGATTTTGGGTGTTTAAAATTGGTACATGCCAACTTGCCCCTTGAAGAATTTTGAAGTTGGACATTCATAAATTTAATTTAATGGGCATTGCCAGTATGCTGCAATGTATCATGTCATTATCTAGTGAGGCAAGCTCTTAAGTTTATGATTGGGACTTATCATATAGATGTCCCCAGATAAGACATATCATAGTAAAATCGAATGTGCTATACAGTTCTTTTTTTTTTTTAGTAATTTATTTAGCACTTGCACTCTTTCTCCATGTTTCCGCTAGATCTTATATTCTTATTTACTTTTTTATGGAAAGTTTTGTCTCGATGATATTAGAAAATTGAGATTTCGATTTTGACCTCCTTTCAAAACCTAATTAACTAAAAAGGGTTCTTGTGCTTCATTGCTTCTAAAGCTGTTTTCACAATTATGGCCAATCTAAATCTGAAATATTCTGCCAGGATCACTATGCCTTTGTTTTCTTTTTAAAGAAAAACTCAAAAGTTCTTTAGTCTTTTTTTTTTTTTTTTTTTTTTTTCTGCCAGCGATCACATTATGCCTTTGTTTTTCTTTTTAAAGAAAAAACTCAAAAGTTCTTTAGTCTTTGTTTTTTTTTTTTTTTTTTTGTCCTTTTTCTGATAAGTTTATCACGTAGATACTAAAACCAAAATTACAAAAGGAAAAATCCGAAAACTTGATATAATTATATTCTGCAACTATTAGCATTCCTTTACAAGAAACAAAGCTTCGTGGCATCGATTTATTAAAAAATTAATTCAACTTCACATTAGCCGTCCAGCTCCCAGAATGGATACCTGCCTTGCCCCCACATGCAAACCCAAAAAAAACACAAGCTTTTCAAATAAAGCAACATGCAAAATCAGCATTAACTGTCTATATCTTGCAATCAATGATCAATAAGAATTCAGAACTCAACAAAGCAAACATCGCAAACCACTCACCGCGCTTCCTTTACTTGGCGACCTCAAACTTGTTGAGTAGAATTTCCGATGTTCAGCAACTTCCCTCGGCCTAAAACTTTTTCACCTTGAACCAAGGCCCCCATTTTTCCATTCCAGATTCAAGCACTAGCCATTACTAAAAAACAAGCAACACTCTCTAGCCAACCTTTTTTTTTTTTTTTTTTTTTTTTCCTTTTTCTATAAGTTTATTCAGTAGATATAAAAACCAAAATTACCAAAAGAAATCCGAACTTGATATAATTATTTCTGCAACTTATTAGCATTCCTTTACAAGAACAAGCTCTGTGATTTATTAAAAATTAATTCAATTACATTAGGTCAGTCCCAGAATGATACCTGCCTGCCCCACATGCAAACCCAAAAAACACAGCTTTTCAAATTAACAACATAAATCAGCATTAACTGTTATATCTTGAATTAATGACAATAAAAGAATTCAGAACTCACAAAGCAACATGCAAACCACTCCCGCTTCTTTACTGGACCTCAACTTGTTGATAGAATCATGTTCAGGCAATCCTCGGCCTAAAACTTTTTCACTTGAACCAAGGCCCCATTTTTCATTCCAGATTCAAGCATAGCATCTAAAACAGCAACATCTCTAGCACCTTCCACAAAAGAGATGCGAGGTTCTGCTTCATAGCTACTTCCCTTCTGTAACAAGCATATATGATTAAATCATGATTAGTGATAAAAGCAAGTTAGCAGCCTAACGGAATATTTCCATTTTATGCTATCTTAAAGAAGTCAAAGCTGTATTAAGGAATTTAACAACAAAGTAATGTAAGAGATAAAGTTTGATGTTAAGGGAAAGAGGACAACGATGAATCAGGTGTATATGTTTCAAATGTCTGAAAATAAGAAAACTATAGAACCCATCAAATTGGAAAATTTGCCCTAATGCATGCCCAAAAAGGGCAATGTGCATGTCATCCATAGAAAAGATAACAAACAAGAAAGGCTAAAAGTCAAACAGAACAGTAAAAAGTATACGGTTGAACATGAAAACAAAGGAGCATATCATAATACCTTAAGGTTGGCCTGTGAAATGTCATGTATAAAAGTTTTTAATTCTTCAGTCACTCCACTGAATGGGTAGAATGTACTTTTGCAGATCCCATCAGCACCATAAAATGAAACCTGAGATGGTAATATACAACATCACTGATAGCATATAAGTGTCAGGACTCATGGGCAAATCAGTCCATTACTTTAATGTTCAGGGAAATTTAGTTGGAAATTCTGGGAAATTAACTAACGGCTCCTAAAACTGCACGAGATCTTATAGCTGCAACAGAGATGTTTTTAACATACCACGTAACCATGTCGTCCATCTTGGCTTCCCCGATCGACTTGTAGTGTTCCCTTCAAGCCAACAACGCGCCACAATATCTAAAAAGAGCTAGAATCTATGAGTAAAAATAATACATATGTTCTGTGTGAATTGGAATTATTACTTTATCACATGCCTTTGGTGATCTTGAGGATACAACCATTACAAAAACTCCAGAACACCCATTCTCGAGTTGACTGAGAAAAAGAAATACAGTCACCTTAGACTTGCAATCACATAAAAATGCAATTTCCTGGACAATCCAAGTCCATAGTGTGAGAAACTTACAAGACTGAAGATATGTTATCCGGAGGAGGTAAAGTTTTGTCTACATGAGAGGTCATAGCTGATACTGAAATCACCTCGCATCCAACAACCTGTTCAAACAACAGGAAAATCAATTTAGATTGCAGAAAAAGTGCAAGAAGCATCAATTCAGAAGCACTAAGCAATGCCATTAAGGTAAAACTCTAGCATGAAATATAAAACAAGTGCTCTAAATATCAATAGAAGTATGGTATACTAAATCAGCAGAAGAATGTTCCTAATTAAGGGCTGACTGTGCTATCTGAGAACCATTACAAGTTTACAACTGATTTTCAGTGACATTTATTGAAATATGTGAGATTACCATTCTTAATCCTGCAATGAAATGTACTCCCATATCTAGAATGAAACCCCCCTGCCAAAAAAGAATACACACTATTAAGTAATTTGACAACAATTAACTATCTCAAACATGGTAGTAGCAGTAAATGAGATACCTAAACTTACAATTAAAAATTAATGCCTGGAGTATTGGAATTCATCATTAAATTACATGCTACAATGAACAGCAAAATGCTGTGATTTTTGTCACTGTAAAAGAACATAGTTCTCTTACAGGTTTGCATCATTGGGAATCGCATGGCATTAAGAATCAATTATCTCATATCTTAAATGGAAATTCATTCATCTCATGCATTATATGGCAGAGAATATTCCAGTGTCAGATATGTAACTTGCAGTGAAGCAATATAGAAATGATGTACAATAATCACGTTTATAATTCCATAAAACAAATCCAAAAAAAATTAAGTATACAACAAAAATACCTACAGTAAAATTGCGTCGCCATGAACTTGAGAAATAAGGGTTTGCACTATTCATTGATCCTTCAACAATAACTTCAACTGTCATCATGTCCCCAATTTCAGCCAATAGTTTCTTGCACTGCAGGCTCAGCAATGGGTTTATACCTAGAGTAATTTGAATACAACAACATGTGGCAAGTAAAAAACAAGTACCTCTACAAAAGCTGGCTCAAACCTATAATTCTCAGCCACAGCCCAAATTGGTTGACCAGGGGAATTGGCATAAATGGATTTGTAGCTTGACAGTGCAGTTTCTATTTCACTTGCAGCTGGATTAAATCCATAAAAATTTGAAATCATGGAATGTCTAGGAGTTTGAACATCCGTAATATATCATCTCAACAAACAGAGAGAGGGAACAAAACAAAATCCTACTCACAAGCTGCTGCTGGTTTCTCTGCAGGTTGGCCATGTTATCCAAGCAATGCATGCCAAAAGAACAGGGAGATTTTAGAACAATGCACAGAAGAGAAATATACAGACAAAAAGATTATCAGTTATCAGATAAATGAACCAAGAAGAGGAATGGTGTAAAGGCCCTTCTGGAATCCACATGACTTGTTTTTGCTTTTTTCTCTCACTTTCATTATCTTATTCATTTTTATCGATTTTTTTTTTGGTTGCATGCGGGATAGCTTCAAAAATTCTCACATTAATCAAGACTTCAAGAATCTTGTCGGCTGTCATAAAAACACTATAACTAGCAAATTTGACTTCAACTACGTCTCTTTATAACTTATATCACCTTGAAGGACATGCTTCCCAGCCTTTAGTAGCTTCAATGAGATATCAACCTGCACAAATTGGTTTATAAAGTTTATGATCTAACCAAAAACTTATAACATGCTAAACCACAGCCACTTTAAGAAAGCAGGCGTAAGAAGTTAGTCCCAGATTCAAATTTTGTACGTTCTCATTTTGTTTTCTGATTGTCTATCTAACTGGAACCACCTAACTGAAAACTATGCATTTTAGATTGGCAGGCAAGTTTCACGCTTCCACATGAGACTGAAGGATATCTTGTGGAAGGTTTTATGGAAATTCGGTTTGTGTAACTGTAAACTTTCGTGCACAGGAGGCATAATTAACAAAAACATAGCAATATTAATAATGATAATCGGAGACACAGTTGATAGAATTAGGGTACTTCCAGGACAGAATAAACCTGAGCTTGTCCAGCAAGAACCACAGCAACACCAAGAATTGACTCGTCTTGGATAATCTCATCGAGACCTTTATCACCCCATTTATACTCTACCCCTGGAAAATGCTTACGCGCTATCTCCACCGCTTCTCTGGCAGATTCCTACACAGATAAACAAAACATGTGTATAGCAATGAAGGAAAAAGAAAAAGATACAGAATAAAAGTATAAGAAAGTAACTGGTGACCTCAGTTCGGCTCCAAATAGCCTTAAGAACGAAGAGATCAGAGATTTCAGCTAATCTGGGAAGGTACTGGGTTCTAACGAAGATGCCAGCTCCGAGAATTGCAAGATGGGGCGGGTTCGCCATTTCAAAATCCTGCAATCTAGAAATGAGGATGTATACAAATATTCGAATTCCAAAACAGACAGTTTCAGTCTGGAAAGAAATCTTTACCAGAAGAATAAAGAGGTTGAAATTTGAGAGACTGTGATGGGCGCTATTTCAGGTCAGCTCAGTTGCGTGGGCACAGAATTGAGTGCGAATCGTTATTAAGCAGAAATTTCGATTTTTTTGGACCAGTTAATTCGTCTTTCTTTGTAGGTTCTGCCGTTCTGGTTCTGGGGACTTCCAATTTTTTCTTTTATTTCATTTTTTAATCTGATCTGACACCTTACAATGATAAAAAAAAAAAAAATGTGAAATCCAATAGTAGAACACTGAGCGTAGGCAAAACTATTTTCTATAATTATAAACTTCCCTTGAAATTTTTAAAAAGAAATGAAAACCCTGGTTCTAGATTCGTATCGGCTCTCCCGGAATCATTGATTAGGGGGAAAAACTGAAGATGAGAGACACAAAATAAAAACAAGATTTAAATAAATTAGAAGGATGCGTAGCATGTGGAAAATTTAATAATATTCATCAATACTGTGTAATAATAACTGACTTCTCATCCTGTTATTCCACCACCACCAAAAGTCTAAAACTCATTCTCCAAATACGCAGGTATGATGAATCTCTGCTTACAGTTTCTTCCACTTGATTTATAGTAAAGCACCAATACTGAATAGAATAATTCTTCAAATTTCAATCAAATGCAAGATTACAATTCAACTCTGAACATCGAGGCTCTAGTTTCTCTCATCGGATACAAGATTAAATAATGTAATGACCTGTGCTATGTGTAACAACAATTTTAAACCTATAGAGGACCAGCAAATGGTCCTAGATAATCAAAGAATGTCCTACAATTCTTAAGAGATAAGTCTGAAAACAAAGATGGGATTGTGAAATTCAATGAATTTATTTTCAACTTCCAGTGCTTGGATATATATATCTTCCCTAGGTTCCTCACTCACTCCACTTTGTGTTGCATATTCCAAAGCCATTTCATAGTCCACCTGCAAAAAAAATCAGGACATGTATTAATACCCACAAGCAATATTGATATCTCCCACTTCACATATATTTCCAAATCCATGACGATTGAGTTTTTACCTGATCAGTTGAGGAGGAAAAGGAAATTAAAGCTTTAAAAGCTAAAACAGAGAAATGAAGTTCAATATGAATATAAGCATATTACTGGCTTGCCTTCCCATCTGCTGGCATATTACAACTTCTAGGAAAGATTGTTGGGTATGCTAGTATGAAAAATACCAAAGATGATGAGCTTCTTAAACAAAACATTCACTCGAAGGTTTGTCTTTCCATAGGCATAATCTTTCTCTTTTTGTCAGTTCAGATGAATAGATTTCATATCTATCTATAATAAATTCAACTACAACCATTCAGTTCACAAGGGTCACCTCATCACTCCAACATCAATAGCCATTACTTAAACAAACATTCAGACCACAACTCCTCACTAGAATGCCTCTAGAAAACTCTACTCAAAACAGTCAATAGTGGTGCATCAAAACTAATCTCAAGTAAAATTCACCTTTTCAACATGCTGAGCAAGCTTTTCTCTGAGTGTGTCTTTCGTAATCGAACCTGCTGATACTTTTCTGAGTATCTCAGCATCCTCTTCCTCGTAGCATCTCCTCTTCGATGCATGTGACTGCGCCATTTCTCTCAGAACATCATAGAGAGCACCTGTAGCATCAGGGATGTACCTGCCATTTTATCAAATAATGATTTCAGTACAGCAAATAGGAACTGGAATATCATTGAGCCTAGGCAGATGGTTGAAATTACTTGCTTAAATTTCGCTTACGCTCCTGTTGTTCACGGGCCTGCATTTTCTTCATAATTTTCGATTTTAGCTGGATGCAGCATTGCTGGATGGCATACTGGAGAATCAATAATGTCAGCTTACTCAACTTTTTCCGGCATGCAATAATATATGAAAAATAAAGAACTTCACCTTGACAGCAGTAGCTATCTCAGTGATATCATCTCCAATATACTCTTTTCCAGTCCCTTTAAAGGGTATTTTTGTGCTCACAATGCTTACAAATACTCCTATCTTATCTTGCATCTGGTTGATCTTGTAACTAACCCAACTGAAAAAGTTATTTCAGGTAAATGTTTTGGTTAACACGCCAACATCATTGTACTCGCACATCCCCTACCACATTATTACTAAAGAAATCATTGTACTTGCACATCTTACTTGATTCTCTTAAGGGCGGTCCTGGTTACTACATCAGCACCTTGCTCAAAAAGCAGAGGAATGCGGTTTGCAAACCGAAAAATATTCAAACCCTGCATTTTATATTGCAAGAATGAAGAATCAAACTTAGGTTTGAATCGCACTTTGGTTAGCTTTTTGCATTATGCATACAAAAGCAGTAGGCTTTAAGCATACAAATCTTGTTGTTGCATCAGAACTTCACTAATTTACAGGCATGCATACACATGCATATGCATATATGCTTCTTTTTCCAGCCACACCTGCTTTAGCTTACCATTGCCTACTACTGATGGCAGATACAGTAAACATAATATTTTTCTTAAGATCCTTGAGAACATAACTATGCAGTACCATCTTATATTTATCTTCATAAATAGAAGAAAATATTAGAATTAACTTACATGCTTAACATCCTTTCCGCCAACACTGACACCAGCTTCCACAAGAAAGGGGTGCCCCTCAAAAACTTGAGCACTGCATGATAGGAAAGAGAGAGGTCAAAGTTAGCAATGGGAAAAATTCCAAATTGTTAAATATAATTTTACTTTCTACAACAGAAAAAAGCAGAAGTTTTGCAAACAGATTTTAAACACAACCTGCCTGAATAAGTGGCAACCATGTCTGGATGCAGCTCCTTTATAATCCCAAGACGAAGATTGTATTCGCCTGCAGGACTAAGACACTAAAAGCAGTTCTTAGAAAAATGTTTAAAACTATAAAGTTGCACAAAGTTAAAGGACTATAAGATATAAACGTTAGGAACAAAAATATATAATTATCAAATTAAAGGTACACTGCAACAGAATGAGCTAGAAGGTTGACGACCAGGAGAAGCTTACATCACCAGTAGGGTCATCAAATTTGGCTTGACGAAACAACTGATGGATCCGAACTATCTGCTGATCAGTCAGAGACTTAGCAGCCATTTTTGGGCTAAATTCTGGACCCATTTCCCCTAAAAGATAAGGATAGCCACTTATGCATCCAAGAAATAGGAAAAAGAAAAAAGAAAGATATTTTGCTTGGTGTATCATATTATTGATACAGACCAAAGAATTTTGTTCCATACTTGAATAACCATTTATCGGATTTTAACTTTTAGGGACAAATTATTACCAATTAATCGTTCAGCAAGCGCTTTTCCTATATTTACAAATTCATGCTGAAGAAATTGCAAAAGGTTCTGTTTTGAAGTTTCTGCAATTAGGCGTTTGATCAATAGCAAATCAACAGACGATGGATGATGCTTTGTCTCAAGAGGAACAGGTGGCATTACGTCTGTTCTCCTCGCAAACTTTATAGTTACGTTTTTTCTGCAGAAAAAAAAAAAAAAAAGCCATACGTCTGTTCTCTCTCGCAAACTTTTATAGCTTACGTTTTGCTGCAGAAAAAAAAAAAAAAAAGAAAACAGAAAAGAAAAGGTCTGGACAAAGTTATAAAATGTGACAGTTAGAACATGCAGACACTAGGATTTAGTTGGATAACACACTCACTAATGCAAACGAGCGATAGTCGTGCGTCCCAACATCAGCAGCATGTCAGCAGTTGTCGTTGGTTTTGTCGCTCGTGTGTGTGTGTGTGTGTGGTGGTGTGGTGTGTGGGTTGGTGGGGGCGGGGGGGGGGGGGGTGAGGGGTGGAGGCGGGTTTTAGAGAGAGAGAAACCATACTCAGAATGTATGATATAAATTTGAAAAAGAAATGGAGCGGGGTTTAGAGAGAGAGAACATACTCAGATGTATTTGATATAAATTTGAAAAGAAATTGGGCATAAGGGGTGATAACTGCCATTTGTCGCATGTAGTGCAATATCTTGGACTGCACTTCACCAAACATAAACCAAAAGTTAATTAAATCAAATGATTTAGATTGTATGAAGAAACTAGGAAAAATTAATATATATGCAAATTATTTTCAACATACACGATAAGTTGTCCAATTTCCCTCAATGACCACTTGAATTTCAGCTCCATGCCACCCATCATCATTCTTCCGTTTTTCATGTAAATGTACATGAGGAATGTTCCTGATCATTAATTACAAGCACTAATATTAACAAAATGTAACCCATGTAACCCCAAAGAATATATACATACAGTTTAATACCAAAAAATGTTCCAAGAAAGATTATTAAAATTTGAAAACAATAATTCAATGTGTATGCATATATTTCCATATACACTGAGGAATATAATAGATATAAAAATGCTGGCACATAATAAATTAATGGATGTCCAGTATTTTATCACAAAAATTATTGAAAAAGAAAAAACATAATGCTTTCTATCTTTCCATATATTTAGGCCCTACCGATGAATATCTATATCCAGCCTGCAGAATGAAACATAGTTTTGGCCTTTCATTGATGATGAGATCTCTATAGGAAGCCCAGTACTCATTTTTGACCATATCAATGCCTACATTAGTAAAATGAACTACATTAATGGTATTCTTTGCCACAAGTGTCAAGTAGAGAAGAGCAGTAAGCATAAAGCAGAAAAGGCATATGTAAAGCTTTAATAAAATTATTACCATTTTTGCACCAAGACCAAACTTCCCACGCGTCTGCTTGAGACCATATTTTGTTCCAGACAGGACTGCATGCATAAATAAACTTAAAAAAATAAGCAGATACAAGTGTGATTCTACAATTGAATTACTATTAATTAAACAACTAATTATTATATAGAAATATGAGCTGAAAATTGAAAATGTACCCCGTCCAAACATATTTGGGATGTCATCATGTGGCATTCCTCTTCCATTATCCTGTATTTAAAATCAGTTGCACTCGTGAGTCTTCACACCAGAGTAAAATTTTGAAGTCTATTTAGAAAAAATCAATAGATCCAGGAAATTAATAAGATGAAAGGAATGCTAGAAGAAGATGGAGTATAAAAGTATATCACACCTTGCATGTGACTCTGTAAAATGAAGCCTCACCTCGACCCTTCACGCCCTTTGCAGCTGACTGTTCCCTGACTTTCTTCCCAAGTGCAGCATTCTTTGCTTGTATTTCCTGAGCACGAGCTTCTTTTGCTAATCTTTTCTGCAAGGCATGGAGCACATTGCGAAGAAATTAAGATTGAAGAACTGACAAACTAAATACTAGCAACAAGCAGTTGGTAGTCAGTACCATACTTCCAAGAATGCACAACATCCACACACAAAAATCCAGACAAGCAAACTAACAGTTAACAATGTTGAAGCAACTTTACAAATCGTGTTAAACCATAAGCAAGTTTAAGTTATCAATAATCAAGCTTCATAACTAGCAGAATCACAGAACTGCAAAAAAACTCAACAAAGCAAACGACACAAGGTATTCATGCCATGCCAGAAGCAAAAACACACCTCACGAGCCTTAGCTGTCTCATAATCATCATAAAGTTCCTCATCAACACGCTCACGATCAACAAGACCAATCATTGAATTGAACTTGCTTTTCCCTATCTCTTCACTGCAACAATCAATTGAAGATAAGACCAGTGCTGCCTGCACTCTTATATGGCTTTTGCCGAAAAGGAGAAGAGCATTGGAAAGAGCATGCAGGCCTTCCAACTAAAATGCCACTAACATGGCTACACAAGTATGTCTAAAGCATGCTAACATTTATAGATTTGCAATTGCAAATACATAAAACTTACAGTGTAATTTCTACAACGGGAAGCTCAGATATGGACTCAGCTGAGTCAAGCGAATTTTCAACAAGTTCTCTCACTGTAGTGTACAGGCATTTCCCTGGCTGAAGTACACGCAACGGAAAAGTATTAAAAGGAGGAACAACATTATTTCTCCCTCAGATATCTGATTCATTCATTTTACATATACACATACAGAAATGTTGTCTAAAATTGGAACTCACGTTATCAAAGCCAGCAATGTTCTTGTTCTCTGCGAAGAACTCCGCTGGAGATTCTGCTCAACCAAATAAATCCGAAATAAATCATTCATGCACATACATATACAGGAAGAGATCGAGAGAGAGAGATTAACTTTGCTTGAGAATGCTTTCTTTGGGCTTTCTTGGAGTCTTAGATTTGCCTTTTTTCGGCTCAGTTGGGCTTTCACTGCTACCTCCTCCAGCTTCCATGGAAATACCCGCCACTGTAATCAATCTCGAGATTAACAAGCTTTAATTTGAGCTAGAATTTTCAAACATTGTCTACTGTGATTCCAATTTTAAGAAATGGAATACAAAACCCAGACCAGCTACAGCTAGGGTTTCTGATATCGGCAATTCTAGGACTGGTGATCAAAATTTTGATAAAATTGTGGTACGTATAATAAGTAACGACGGTGTTCCTTTGATGCTCTGCCGTTAGATGATCGCTGGTCCTATATTTTCTGAATGTATACCCATCGAGTGGTAGTGAAACTCGTTTGGTTGTTGAGATGCGATCTTTTGTGCTACCGAAATCGACGGTTTGGATTGGAGATGGCTATTGATAGAGATGCGACAACACAGAGTTCATTCATTTTCAGGTGCAGCCGAAAATTTCCCTATTAAGAAAAACTTCCCCTAATTTTCCCGCCAATATTTAGCGTTTCTGTATCGGTCAATGGAAAGTACGAGAACTAACTGAGTAATACGTGTAATAACAATTCCATGGCAATTTAGGAGAAAATTTATTTTTTTAAAGTAAATTATTTATATGAGTCCTTGTTTGAAATGATAATTGAATAGTGGTCAATTTTTTTATGAAAAATAATACTATATCAAGTTTTCTTTTTTATAATTATTTTTTTGAGATTTATTTAGATAAAGGAAACACCAACATTAATCTATTTATCAATGTCAGATGAGAGATGCATTATTATTCATATCATCAACTTACTAACATACCATATTTATAATTATTTTTTATGATATAACATTAATATATTTATATTTTTTAAAAAATGAAGAAAGAAACTGCACAGGTTAGGCATGACCACAGTTTTAGAATAGCCAAAAATTCCGGTTCTGGTTATAAAAAAAGTGAAATCGAAATTAAATTGCTTTTAGACGATTTCTAAAATAATTTTGGAACTGTCAATTTCGATTTTATACCGATTTTGAATTGAAATTAAATAGTATATTTTAAACTTTTTAAATATTTTTTAGATTTGTGGCTTGAATAAATAATAATAATAATAATAATAATAATGGTAATAATAAACATTACTATTAAAAAAACTAAATCAATTTAATAAAAAATCTTTAAAATTACTTTAAAAATTGTAATAAAACAAAAAAAAAAAGTTGGAAGTTTCTTTAATAACATGTTTTTCACAGTTTCAAATCGAAATCGTCAGTTTTTATTTCAAAAAATGAAGAATCAGAATTAAACTTTAAGTATATGATTTTAGTTACAGTTTAAAACTAAAACCATTGACTATGTATTAGTGCCGATTTTGATATTTTCAATTTCGATTTGGTTTTAATTTGAAATCGAACCATGATTATCCCTAACCCAAATAAAATAAACAAGAAACTTGATTTCTTGTGTTTTACTTGAAATAATATTATGATCGTATAAACAGCTTTTTTAATCATGAATAAAAAATAAATTGCTAAAATCCTATGATGTGTATTTTTGAAAAAATTTAAATATTTTTCGTGTTCCATAGAGATAGAATTGTTTTTATTTTCACATAAATTAAGAAAAATTAATTAATGTAATTTTAATTCTATTTATATTTTTTTCTATACTCTTGTATTAATGTTAGAGCCACTTTTAATTAGAAAAACTATTAATAATAAGACACACTAAATGGCGATATATTACAGAATTAATAAATTAATTATACCTTTAAAAACACAGTAACCTATAATTCGAGACAAATGAAAATAAGAAAATAAATGTATCTTTATGATATGGTGGCAATATTATTATTTAAATTTTGCATTCATTAAGAAAAATATTGAACAATTTAATTGAAACACCCCGAATTTTTATTTTTGAAACTTTTAAATTTTTATTTAATTAAAAATCGAGAATTTTGACCGTGTGGGCTGTAAATGTAATACAAATATTGAACAATTTAAATTGAAAACACCCCGAATTTTTATTTTGGGAAACTTTTAAATTTATTTTAATAAAAATCGGAGAATGTTTTGACCTGTGGAATTTTGTTTTTTGGTTTATTCATCCTACTGCGGTTTTTTTGTACTCCAGATTTCAGCGCTCTGTGCTGTAAAATGTAATAGAGCAGTCTAATTCGAGGCCCCGAAATTTTAAGAATTGGTCCAAAGCCTCCAAGAGCAGATTAGCCGGAAAAGTTCGATCCAAAATAACTTATAAATTTTTGACAAATCAAAAAGAAAACTCTAGTTGATCAATCGAATTATGAAATCGTTCATAGTTTTATTAATATGAGAAATGGAGAAAAATATAATGGAATCCGAGCTAAATAAATAAAGATAATATCCGAACGGGCTTAAAATCAAAATTGATTTTTCGAAAAATCCACACGAAATCATAGTCCAAAAACTAGTGGAAAACCTAAACCGAGCAAATGGAACAAGCGCAATCAGTTGAAATAGGATCGAATGTCCGGTTCGAGAATCGAACCGGAATGACCTAGAAACCGACATACCTTTCTTTTCTTTCTTTTCTTTCCCTTCCTCCTCTCCTTCTTCGCGGGCGGGCGCGACTCCCTCCTCTCCCTCTCCTTCTGTCTTCGGCCACCAGACTGACGATGGTGGGTGGCGATCGATTCCTCTCATGCCGCCGGTCACGTTGCCAGTCTTTCTTCACGCCGATCAGGCCCTCAGCGGTGACGATGCAAGCCTCTTCCTCTTAGCGACGCAGCTTCGATTCCGGCGAAATCCACGCCGTTTACGATTGCTTCACGTACAACTGAGGGACTCAATTGACTCCGCATCACTTGCTTGACGTTTTCCCTGCATCGATTCCGGCGATGAAGCCTGGATGACGGAACTGCCATGAATGGCAGTGGCGAAGCCATTGTCGAAGTAATTTTCGGCCAATCAAGGCACAGTCAGTCCAATTTGAACACAGATCCGGAGTCCCCATGAGATTTCGAACATTTTGGTGTATATATTGTAAAATTCTGGGCAAAAGTCGTTTTTCCGACGAAACTTACCGGCCACCGGGACGGCGGCGGGGCGAGTGCGCGGGGTACGGTGACCGGTCCGTCGAGCCCTCCGCGGAGGCTAAGGACAAGAATCTCCCGTCTTTGTTGAGGAGCGTGGAATCGCAATGTGAATTCATGCGGTTAACGCTCTAAAGTTCTCATTCCCGTATTCGTTAGTTGTAACTTGCGAATTAGAACCATCACTTAATTAAATTGAATCAATAAATAACGAGTCAAAATATAATCCTTGTTTAGAAATTGGATAATTGGCTAGATTAGTTACAGAATTAATTTTTAATATTGTTAAATAAATACTAACATAATTAAGTATTATAATTAGGCGACTTGAAGGAGGAGATAATATTAGCAATTTAAATTAATTAGTTAAGTTAGATGACATGTAGTCTAAAACGTAGTTGGGTTGCATAAGACAAAGTAAGATAGTTTAGTAGGTTGACGGTAGATTGCGAAATTGTTGAGGAACCTATAGGTTTCTTCAAAGCCTAACGACTTCCGGGCATTGGATAAATTAGAGAAATCGAACTGAATAATATTAGTGTATAAATAGTTATTTAAAAAGATTTTAACACATTAACAGATTTATATCTACATATAAGCTTATTAATTTGGTCAGTTATTGTTACGAATAACTGATAAAGTAATTGTTGGAACATGGTTAAAGTCGTTATAGATGAACTACTGGTTGAGGATAGGTTGGGTGTCTGACACTGATTTAAGGAGGAATGGGATTTTAAAATTGATTGATTGCCCGCGATGGGCTGGTGCCAGGATTAAAAATATACAAATCAAATTATCGTGAATATTGAGCCAGGTAGATAGTCCAATTTTTTAGGGGAGGTGCTGCCTGAAATTTCGAAGAACCAGAAGCGTAGTTTTAATTCATAACATAATGAAGAGGTTTAATTAAGATAGATCCGATAACTTAATGCATAATAAATAGAGTGCTCTAATTATTTATTTATTATCTTTTATCCATTAATTATCTAAGTAATTTAATGATTTCATTTGTGATGTTATTATATCATTGTTATTGTTTATTGGTTGTTATTTTAATGGATTTATAATATTTAATTGCATTTGAGAATTGATGTCTAATTGTGCATTGCATTAAGATGTTCAAGACTGAATAATATGGTCCTGCATCTGATTGCAATGTTTGATAATGTGTTGGAATCTATGCTTGTTTGGTGTGGAATGGGGATTGATAGTGGAACCACCATTGGATTTGTTGAGGATCGGTCCTTGATAGGATACCGGTGAATGATATGATCTTGTCCGTCGGCCGGGAAAATATGGGAGATCGCGCCCCCATTGTGCACCTGATGATATAGATCATATGGGAATTTCCACAGGAGGGCTGCTGTTGGTTGCGCACACTGATTATCTAGATTTGATTGTAAGCCCGCAGGGGCCTCCTGTTGTGAGCACGTGAATGATCTAGATTGGATGGAGACCACCGGGTGCCTCCCTGTTGGGTAATGGAAAAGAAAAGAGAGAAGGGAACAAAACAAAATGAGAGGACTGGGTCTCCAGTTAAGGATTAGACCAATGGCCGTATGGGGGACGGTCTCCCTGGTGCTAGCAGTAAGAGGGCGAAGCCCATGTGTGAGGAACGTGCTCGTGGGTTTCATGTGGTGCCACTGGATTCTAATTTTCCACGTGAGGATTATATGAAGAGTTAATAAGTGATGCTGGTGTATCCATTGTGTATCGCCGGGTGGGAGCATTAACTATCGGGCTATGTGACTAGATTGATATATTACATTTGTGGAATGCGGGTGTTGTCAATACATTCTAATTCATAATAGACTCAAACATCTCTTTTGTTAAATCTTTCAGGAAGTAGTCTTCCTAAGTCCCAGCAATAACTCTTGCTCTTCACTGTTAGAAAAGACCCTCTACTTAGTATTGATTCTATTAAATAGATAGAAAATGCCGACCGACTTAATCGTATCATTTGTTAGTGAAACTCCGCAGTTATAGAATTTGTATAAAGCGTAAATTTATAGAGACAAAATTTTGGTGAGTCCTCATTATTATAAAATAAAGTGGGTATGTAAGCAAGGTAAGTTTGTAAAATTTTAAGATGTTTTTAAATTTTGGCCGAGATTAATAGAACCTGAAGTTATTTTTCCATCAGTATGGGCTGAATATAACAAAAAATAATTAGAATAAAAGTTTAGTGTAGTGACATAAGATGGTGCTCCGGTACCGATTGTGGCATCCGCCGTCTGGTTC